CAGGTTTTGGAGGACTTGATAAGACCAGCTGGCGCAGGTTTTGGAGGGGATTCATTTTGTTCTGAAGTTCTAGATCTTCTGTGCTGGATGGAAGCAGATGTTCTTTTGACAGTAAAGTGACTTTTGACTTGACTAAAATCTGTAGTTTTCTGCTTTTATAGTGCCTTTCCACTAATGCACCCCCATACCATCAGAGAAGGAGGATTTTTACAACTGTGTGCTCATAAAAAGTCTGGCTGTCCCACTTCCATTTTAGTACAGAGGATGTGCTGTCTGTGGTTTCCAAAATTAATTTCAGGTTAAGATTAACAATTTTACACGACTCAGATTTAAAGGAATACATATTAAAAAAAAAACAACAACTCTTAAATCAAATATAACAGAAATTATATGAATATTATATTATAATAGAGGATAACCGCTCTGACTACTCAGCCACAGCTGTTCAGCCACCAGGGAGCACAAGCCCGTGCATCTCTGGTTCTGATTCCAAGCCTGGGTAACTGGCGAGGGTTGTGTCAGGAAGAGGATCGGACGTAAAACTCTTTGGAGGTGTAAATGTCTTTGGTGGTGGGGAGGCTGACTCCAACATCTTCTGTGCAGCCTTCACCACTCTCTGCAAAGCTTTTCTTTCTGCAGCTGTGCAGCCTCCATGCCACACGTTGATGCTGGAGCACAGGATGCTCTCCACTGCACACCTGTAGAAGGAGGTGAGGACTGAGCTTCCCAGACCAGTCAATGGCTTCCCACCAATGGCTTCCCATCAATGGCTCACTCTTGATGCAGGTCAACATACACAAGCGGTTAGTTTCAGTTTCTGTTTGGCGTGCATGCACCGAACGGTTCTCCGTTGTCCGTCCGAGTGGCGAGTAATTCAGCTGCGTGGTCTGGAGCAGACGTGGAGGCGCGCGGCCGTATCTGTGCATTTGAAGTAATACACTGCATATTTTTCAACCCGCCTGACAAAGGGTGACTGTAAAACTATAACTAAATAAAACTATAATTTTAAACAAAGCTTCCCAATATCACATCAGAGCTGCTCCTTCGCATTTCCGCTTCTGCTCTTAAAAAAAATAACCGCCCCTATATGTTCAGTCATGCGCAATATTATAAGAAAAACTAGGTGTGCACCGATAAATCGGCCCCGATTTCCTTAATTTTGAGAAATCGGCCGATACTTGCATGAGAAACTGATTTGATCGTTTTTAGTTTTAACAATTGTCTGAACTTCATTAAAATTTCAGAGCACTACCTCATGACCAGTTTAAACAAGTTTGTATTGTTTGTAGGATGTTGTTCAAGGGTCTGTTTTTCAATAAAATAATATTGGAACATTGAAGGTGCATTGTGACCTTATAACACCCGACAGTGTCGCTTATAAAACTAAATCGGAATCGGCAAGTCAGACTTTTTAGAAATAGGTGATCGGCCAGAAAACTGCAATCGGTGCACCCCTAAAAAAAAACAACAATACAAAAATATAATTAGTTTTGCACTATGCATAAGTTCCTGTGCTTTTGTGAACAATCTAATGCAGGGGCGAACTGGCCGTCGGAAGTGCAGAGACATTTCCCGGTGGCCTGGCCTGCTCAGTGCCCACAGAGGGACTGGACTAAAGGCTCGGTTTGAGCCGCGTACGATTATTTTAAATAAACAAGCTGCTCTTGCCTGGTCTCTGCCCTTCCTCTTTCTCAGGCTGTGTCTGTCACAGCAGACTGAGCAAAGCAGAGACACACAGGTCACGAAGGTTATGTTTGTGTGTTCATCTCTGTACGTCCATCGTTTCTCCGGTTTGGGTATATAGCGTGTAGATTGGAGCGAGAGACAGCCAAAGGTAAAAGGTGGAGCAGAGAGAGAGGATGAAAAAGAGAAAAGCACTGGTGCTGATGCAGCAAAATGCAGTAAATTAATGTTTGTTCAAGGGAGCAGGTAAGACAGAAACACTAGTGATGAAAAGTGAAAACTCTGGTCATAACCTGTCAGCACAGCTAGCTTAATGAGGTTAGTTCCACTTTGAGGGACCTACGTGGGCCAAAACTTAATAGAACAAATGTTTTAGGTTTTTACAAAGGATACTGCAAATTTTAAAATACGGTTAAAAATGGGATCTGAAAAAAGGTTTAATGCTGAAATGTCCAGGAATTCAGATTTTGTGTACCCTTCATAACCTCCACTAATAAATTATCTGAATATTAAAATCCTTGTAGTATATTATTTTATTTAACCTTTGTTTTACCAGGTAAAGTCCCGTTGAGATTAAGAACATATTTGTCGTTATATGAACCGGTCGCTTGTTTAGGCGAGTTGAGACGGTTCTTCTAGTTCTTAGCATTTCATTGCATTGTTGACCTTGTGTTGATTCGCATATGACAAATAAACCAAACCTGCACATCAGGCTGCAACACTAAAAGTCAGGTTTTAAATCACTTCGTAACTAGGGCATTAACAGAGTACTCGAGTAATCTACACATCGATTGCTAGTACATCTATCGATGTTAAAAATGTAACGTCGGGTATCCGTAGTGACGTCATATTATGTGACCACGTATGACCGTAGGGGGCGGTGTTGCACTGTTGCAGGTCACAGACTATGGTGTAACACCGGGTCCAATCCACCCAACCAGAACCAGTTTCGGTTTAAGTTTCGTTTTTGACGTGCTGCATGTTTCTTCACGTTTGCAGTTTAATAATAATAATAACTAATAGTTTAGTGTTTCCTGTGACTTATTTGCAGTATGATAAATGGTAGGAGCATAATATACGCTCCCAATGTTTTGTTGGTCTTTTTTTTTGGTAAATAATTACCTTTTTTTGCGGTTTTATTTATTTATTTATTTTTGTATCTTGAGATCTATGACGTCATCAAATACTCGAGTTCTACTCGGGTTTTATTATGTTAATGTTGAGTTTAAAAATTATATACTCGTTCAACCCCCATTTGCAACATTATCATCACCTAATACATATTCTGACAGTGATGATGGAGCAATGAAGAAGTTCTAGTGTTGTCTTTTGATGATGCCTTAGTTTTAATGATTGAAGTAAAACAATAAATAAAATAAACCACCTTTACATTATTCAGATGTTTTCAGAATGGGTCACAGACCCAGTCAGTACCTAGTCTCCATGTCCCGCAGACTTCTTGTTGATTCTTCCATCTTTTGTCCGAGCAGCTGTCTGTAGGAGTCCAGCTGCTTCTTCAGATTTTCTGATACTTCGCTGACGAAACCGAAACTGAGAGGAACCAGAAGCAAAGGTGAGGGCTCCGAACAGCTCGCCATGTGAAACAAAACTAACATCTAAACACCGTGACTGTGAGGTGGTCTGACTTGCGCACCTGTGGTTCTTATGAGACACCAGCTGACAGTCTCTACAGGTGAGCTGGACACAGGTGAGACAGAAGAGCTTGAGGGGCTCAGACGAGTGGAGTTTGCAGAACTTCGTAGGAGAAACAAAACCTGAATCTGAGGATAAAAACAACACAGACGTCAGAATCGTGCAACAAGTCTGACGAAATGAAACCAGCTCAGAGGGAGTCTGAAGAGAAAGTGAGCAGGTCAAAGGTCAACGCCTCGTCACTCTAAAAGCAACATGGCAGCACGACGTTGGTTGGGAAGCTTTATCTGAAGGAGCCACAAGACTTCTGGACCAGAACCGGACCAAAAGACAGACATTTACCCAAAATGCACTGCAGCAAACAGCTGATGGTCTGGGCTTGAGAATGATTGTAGATAAAAGGAGGTTCTACAAACTGTTGAATCCTAGGATGGACTTGTTTTTAATCAAATTACAGAGATGAATGCAACTTTCAGGAAGTAATCACAGGGAGAACGTCTACCGATGAAGAATTATGAATTATACTCCATTCAAGATGGTTGCCACAACTAATTAACCTTAAAAAGCAATCAGCTCTTTACAGTAATATTTTCTCAACATTATGAAGTCACTTCCTTCTACATAAACGTTCTGCCACACAGCTAAGCGTGCATCTGATCAGCTTCCTGTCGGGGCGAGACGTTGCGTCTGCTGTGAGCTCACCGTCTGACGGCTGGTTCAGGAGGCGATGCGATCTGGTCAACGTGACCCGCCGATGGTCCGACACACAATCGTCACACAGAGCCTCATCACAGTCCAGACACCAGCATCTGGCCAATGAGCACTCACAGTTACTGCACTGAGGAGGAGGAACAGGGGAGGAGGAGGAGGAACAGGGGAGGACAGGGAGAAAAACATTAAAAACTAAAGAAATTTCCAAATAAAAGTGAATGCTGAATGACTGAAACCAAAAGCGCTAAAACAAATATGTTAAAAGTTAAAACAAGCTAAAATAGAGATGAAGCAAGCTAAGCTAAATACAGTAGGTAAAAGCAGCAGAATCATTTGTTCCATCGGACTTGGATCATCTGTTCCGTTTCTAAAAACATGAGGTAATTAACCTGCTGACTCTGGATGTCTCCTCGTTCATCCGTCGTCTCCATGGCGATCAGAGAAGTCGTCTCCTGAGGGACAGAAGGCAACACAGACTGTATTTATACAAGTTTGAAGCTTTTAAAACGACACTCCTGCAACACCAGGAAGTTCTCCATCAGTGTCTAACGAGGTTGAGTCAGGTCCTCTGGACAGATTATTCTTTGTTGAAACATTTAGTCTTTTATCCAAAAGACTTCTTCAGTCTGAGGTGCTGCAACACGCAGTCTTAACTTTTAAAAAGTTGCAAACGTTGTCTTTGGTGCCTGTTTGTTTTCCAAATGTATTAGCGTGTGTGAATGACAGGCATCAACTTAAAACACTTTGTAGAACGGTGCTTTATGAAGTTTGTGGGTCCTCCCCTGGAAAATTTGGAACAAAAGAGATGCCATTTCCTGCATTTTGGTGTATTTTAACAGGTTGTTAAAACATCTGTAAACATTTGATTAGATTGATTAAAAACAGGTCTCTGTTGTAAATGACGAGGCTCAATGAGACTAACAACCTGTATAAATAAAAGGTTGAATTGAAATTACTATTTGAGCACAACAACAATTAACAAGCCTGTGTGTGAATGCAGGTCCGATTCTGTCAAGCGTCCTAACCCCCCCCACCGTCCGACCCGAACTCTGCTGAATTCAGTCCTGCGCGTTGTTCTGCTCCAATCTCAATTGCCACTGCTTTTGCTTCAATTCTCAGTTGTCCAGCTAAGGACGATCCATCCATCCATTTATTTTAGATAATAAATTGGATTGTCTTTTCGACATTTTGATCGCGGTTATTTTGACAAATTAGTGCCGTTGTTTTGATACGTGATGTAATGTTACACATCAAACATTTCACTCGTATTTTTTTATTTTTTACTGTATGCTTATTTATTATGTCTGAAATGTTATGCACCGCAGTAATGTATGCAGGAGTTCCAACACAGCAGTTGTGGCGCGTCCTGCAGAGCTGTCTGGAGACGCTGTGCGTAAAACAACTGGGCGCACAGCTGAAGGTGGATGAAGACGCTCCCCGCGGGACAAGCAGTCCGCGTCTCTGCCGGGCAGGAGCGTGGTGCGGCCGGAACATCCACTCTACAGGCTGGGCAACTATTGGTTCAACGTTCTTTATGTCACTCACATGTGGTACATGAGGTGGAACGAAATTGGGTACTCAAGGTCACAGTTACATAGGTTACATAGGATAGGTGCAGCGTCTGCAGTGAAGCGGGCGCTGTACCGGTCTGTCGTGGTGAAGAGAGAGCTGAGTTAAAAGGCGAAGCTCTCCACTTACCGATGGATCTACGTTCCAACCCTCATCTATGGTCATGAGCTTTGGGCTGTGACCGAAAGAACGAGATCTCGGATACAAGCGGCCAAAATGAGTTTTCTCCGCAGGGTGTCTAGGCTCTCCCTCAGAGATAGGGTGAGAAGCTCCATCATCCGGGAGGGACTCAGAGTAGAGCCGCTGCTTCTCCACGTCGAGAGGAGCCAGTTGAGGTGGCTCGGGCATCTGGTTAGGATGCCTTCTGGACACCTCCCTGGTGAGGTGTTCTGGACACGTCCCACCGGGAGGAGACCCAGAGGAAGACCCAGGACACGCTGGAGGGACTATGTTTCTCGGCTGGCCTGGGAAGGATTCCCCCGGAGGAGCTGGACCATGTGGCTGGGGAGAGGGAAGTCTGGGCCTCCCTATTAGGCTGCTACCCCCGCGACCCCACCCCGGATAAGAGGAAGAAAATGGATGGATGGTCAGTTACACCCCAAAATAGCAAAAATATAAACAATAAAAAAGTATACAAGGATCTAAAATATACACTAAGATGTAGGCTAAACGATACGCTAAAAGATCTAATACGCTAAACACTAATACTATATTTAACAGATTCTCATTTATTTTCAAAACACCGACAAGCCGCTATGTTTGAAGAACGAAATGTTAGCTGTTAGCTCGTTGTTTACTGAACGTAAGTCACTTACACAGTTGACTTCATCCGCCTCTTCGGAACCACTTCTTCTCCTCCCCTAAGATGTTTGTTCGATACTGGTCCGTTTTTGTGAAGCACTTTGTAGTTTGCTGGTAACTCACAGTGACAATAACAAAAGTTTCTTACGAAACGGCTTGACGTCGACAGCGCATGCGCAAACGTCCTTCTTCTTCTATTTCATTATATTGGTGGTTGACAAACAACTGAAGGAAGCTGTACCGCCACCACCTGGTAAGGAGTGTGAGCCACATGACCAAAAAAAAAAATAAATCCGTTTTACAAAGTAAAATAAAGTCTGATATCCTCTGCTTCCTGAATCTTTCTACAAAAAAATCAGCAATGTCCAATTTCACTTTCATATTACTAAGATTCCTAATGAACTTGTTTCATTGTATCTGGTAACTCCTGCAATGCAAAACAATGTGTTCTATTGTCTCATCTTCCCACACTCACATTTCCCTGCATGATATTTCCCTATTAAAAATAATGTGCTATTCAGTCCAGTGTGCCCAATTCTGAGTCATGAAATAATTGTCTCTTCTCTCCCGTTCCTTTCCGTTATTCTCCTTTCTCATATTTTCCTTTGGATTTTATAAAACCACCGCCCTTTCCTTTCTACCTCCCATAACTTTTGCCTCCTCTCTTTCGTTTTATTATACCATTTATTTCTGTTATACTAAACCTAACATTAATATCAACCAGTACTTGATGGTGCTCTCATTAGCAATCCTGTCTGCCATTTCATTCCCCATAACCCCGTGATGTGGAACCCATATAAAGTTTACTGTAAGCCCCATCATGCTGATTCTATAAAGTGTTTGTTGTATTTCAATTAATACATTTGGTCTACTATCTGACTGGCTGTGTTACAAACTGGCCAAGGAACTGAGCACATGGTTGATTTTAATGGTCTTATCTTCTACCCACTCCACTGCACCTTTTCTTTTAAATTATCCTTTTAATTACTATTTTATTTTCACTTGTTAAAAAATATTAAAATTGTACGCATCCTTTATGATTTTCTATTATTGTCATTTTTGTCCACTGTTGTCATCACTCTGTTAAAATTTAGGTCTCTCTTGTAAATGAGTCCCCGAGGCTCAATGGGATTAACCTGTATAAATAAAGGCTGAATAAATGAAAGTAACAATGGGACCCCAATTCCATACTCACGGAGCATCCCCCACAGCGAACCCCGAGGAACACGGTTGAATGCCTTCTCTAAGTCCACAAAACACATGTAGACTGGATGGGCAAACTCCCATGAGCTCTCGAGGACTGTAGTGAGGGTAAAGAGCTGGTCCTGTGTTCCACGACCAGGACGGAACCTGCATTGTTCCTCCTGGATCTGAGGTTCGACCAATGATCAGACTCACTTCTCCACAACCCCTGAATAGACCTTACCAGGGAGGATAAGGAAAGTGAGAGCCCTGTAACTGGAGCACACCCTCCGGTCCCCATTTTTGAAGAGGGGAGCCACTACCCCAGTCTTCCAATGTGGTGGCATTGCCCCCGATGCCCACACAATGTTGCAAAGGTGTGTCAACCAAGACAGCCCCACAACATCCAGAGCCTTAAGGAAATCAGGACAAATCTCATCCACCCCTTTTAACTACCTTGGCGACCTCAGCCGTGGTTTTGGACAGACCAACTCTGCTTCCTCCATGGAAGACATGCCGGTAGAATTGAGAAGGTCCAAGAAGTATTCCTTCCACTTCCTGACAACATCACTGGTTGAGGTCAATAGCACCCCACCTTTGCTGAACACAGTGTTAGTAAAGAGCTGCTTTCTTCTTACCTCAGCTGCCTGATGGTTTGCCTGAATCTCCTCGGAGCCAACCGAGAGTCTTTGTCCAAGACCTCACCAAACTCTCCCACATCTGAGCTTTTGCCTCAGCAACAGCCAAGGCTGTGGACCACTTGGCCCTCCAGTATTCCTCAGCAGCCTCCAGAGTCCCAACAGCCGACAAGGACCAATAGGACTCCTTCTTCAGCTTGACAGCCTCCTTAACCCGGGATGTCCACCACCGAGTTCAAGGATGGCCACTGCGAGAAGCACCGACAACCTTGTGGCCACAACTCAAGGCAGCCACTTCAATAACTTAGTTGCAGAACATGCCCCACTCAAACTCGGTGTCCCCCACCTCAGTTGGGATGCGGTTAAAGCTCTCCGGGAAATGTGAGTAAAAGATCTTTCTGATGGGTTCTTTTGCCAGGCGTTCCCAGCAGACCCTCACTATATGTTTGGGTCTACTGAGTCTGTCCAGCATCTTCCGCCCCCATCTGATCCAACTCACTACCAGGTGGTGACCATTTGACAGCTGAGCTCCTCTCTTCACCCGATTGTCCAAAACAAATGGCCGCAAATCAGTTGACATAACTACAAAGGCAATCATAGATCTACGACCTAGGACGTCCTGGTGTCAAGTATACTTATGATGGACACCCCGTTTGAACATGGTGTTTGTGATGGACAAACTATGACTAGCACAGAAGTCCAACAACAGAACAACGCTCGAGATCAAGTCAGAGAGGCCGTTCCTCCCAATCACGCCCCTCCAGGTCACACTGTCGTTCTCCACCTACCGATTGGCCCTCGGTTGTTTCAGAGGACTAATGAAGCAGCTAACAGGTACAGGATGGTCAGAAAGACTGTGGCTTCTGTGCTTGTGGAAGCAAAAACTAGGGCATGGGAGGAATTTGGGGAAGCCATCGAGAAGGACTTCGGGTCAGTCTTCTTTGTGTTATGTCAGAGTCAGAGAGTCAGAGTTTCTTTATTGTCATTCGTACCTCATGTGGTACATGTGGTGGAGCGAAATTATGTACACAGGGTCCCAGTTACATCCAACAATAAAATGTAAAAGAAAAACAGTAATGACATCTAAGATATGAACTAAGAAAAACATAAACTAAATATACACTAAGCACTCATAACATAAAACATTGAACATCAGCACAAACATGAACATGAGTCTGTGAGCGGATGTGCACGCATGAACACATCAACATTGAAACAGATCAGCAGCAACATGAAACAGATCAGCAGCAACATGATATGGTTTTTCACAGTGATTATTCTAGTTAGAGATTCATGAGTCTAACAGCCTCAGGGTAGAAGCTGTTCCTCAGTCTAGTGGAGTATGTGTAATGAAAGCAACGTTATTTCCTGCTTGATGGACTTTTATTGACTCTGTTTTAGACGCTGGCTGAAGGAGACATCCCATTCATAGTCTTTGTGTGAGATAGGTCTCTGAAGTCTCAGCTGTTTCGTGGAGACGCTGTCTCCGGCAAAGGCCTCACACAGAGCACCATAAAATGTATCATATATGAGTAAATGGAGTCAGAAGGGAGACACTTGCTCGTCACTTTACACGTTTATTATTTGTTTTGCACTTGCTTAAGTATTCAACTTTTAGTAATCAGAACTCAGTCACTGAAGTAGAATCTGTTAACTCTAGGGATTTCTATATCCTAACAAATGAAATTACAAATAACAAATTCATCCAAATGAAGACCAAATTTGTCTTTGATGTTTTATTCACTATTTTTTTTTTAAATCAAATAAAGAATCATCACCAACAATAAACACATTGAACAACACAATTGATAAAGCATAATGATCTGGAGAATAACTTGTTTGAAAAGTAGTAAAGTAATTACAAAAATAATAATCAACAATAATTAATCAGTCAAGGATTAATTGTCTTTATTTTAAGTCAAAATTATTTGTTTGAGCAGGAATTTTTGTTTTTATATACACACAAATTTAGGCAAAGTTTAACGTTTTGATAAACTATTTATTTTGGAATTTGGTTGAGAGATGATATTTAGTGTGACCAGATCAAGTTATTATCGCTGCAATCCAGGGAATGTTTTATCCAGTTGCTTCAGTATAACCAGCACAACCAGACCCAAAGTTTCATTCCTGTCACCAGGTTTCTGCTCCTTACCAGGTCAGTTTGAGGGCACAAGTTCACTCATCTTTCTGGAATATTGCTGGTGGATCAGATCAGGATAAACCACAAGGAGAGGACTGACCAGAAACTGCACAAGGTAGCCGTAAGTCACTGTGACCACTTCAGGGGTCAGTGAGGGCGACAGCTGATGAGAAGTTGTGTAGAAGCAACTTTAAGCCAGCTTACACTTTAAGCCGACATGAGTCTCACAGTGAGAAAAATATTTCATCTTAGGTAGTTACTGGAAACTTTTACTTTGCTTCTAACAAAAATTGACAGAGTAAACCTGTTTCTTTGCTCAGCAATAAACAAAGATGGACATCAGACGAACACATCAGGATGGGCAAAACAGACAAAATGATCTTTGGTGTAAATCATGGTTCAAAACAACCCAAGGGTCAGAGGTCATAGTCAGGGGAACGGATCTTAAAGCTACAGTTCCAAAGCAAAATGTTGTCATATTATTTTGCAACATTTTTCAGCATTTTGAGACCTTGTCTAATTTGGAGGCATACACCTCCAGCTCACACAGAGTCAGATACTCTTTTCTTCCAGGTATTACAACGTTGATGTATCGACCATCCATCCCATTGCACTGAAAGGTTTCAGTAAAACCTGGACCAATGCTTGAGATCACAGCACACCTGTCAGAGAGAAAAAAAATTGTGATTCAAGCATAAGCTGAAAGAAATGCAATTTTAGCAAAATAATTTAACAAACAAGAGGATCAATGCTCTACTGAGATTTTATTTTAATTGGTAAAAGAAAGAGAGTAAGGAGTGTGCACCACCTGGGATTGTTGTTTCCATTGTTATCAAGTAAATCTCCAATACGAATTTCAGCACCCTTTATCCGTTCTGGATGTTCTACCCTGTTGGTTATGTTAATATAGAACACTTTATGGGTTCTGCCCAGATCCAGTCTCCACCAGGGGTTGAAGTCATTGTTTGTGGCGCTGCAAGAACCTTGGTCCCAGAGGCTGGCACGATTCCCATCTATAGCGTAATAAGCAATAGCTCCGGGATAAACTGTTGACTGTGAAGCTTTTCCATAAACTGCCACATTATCTTCTGAAAAACAACAAAATTAAAAAATGTCAGGTTTGATATAAATAGTTTGCCTTGAGGCCATCAGCACAACGAGGGCTCTGGTTTTTGATTGTTTTTTTGTTGTTGTTGGGACACACTGAAATGCAACTATTGTCACATTTTTGCTCATTCCAGTGATGCAACTAATTAAGAGTACCAGCGTATTGAAGCACCTTTACTACCATCCATCCATCCATCCATCCATTATCTTTACCCGCTTCTTCCATTTTGGGTCACGGGGGTCGCTGGTGCCCATGTCCAGCAATCACTGTGCGAGGGGCGGGGTACACCCTGGACGAGTCACAAGTCCATCACAGGGACACATAGAGACAAACGAGACAAACAACCATTCACTCTCTCACTCACACCTAGGGACAATTTTAGAGTTACCAATCAGCCTAACATGCATGTTTTTGGTCTGTGGGAAGAAACCGGAGTACCCGGAGAAAACCCACGCATGCACAGAGAGAACATGCAAACTCCACCTAGAAGGGCCCCTGGACCGGGGTTTGAACCAGGGACCTGCTCGCTGAGAGGCAGCAGCTCTACCAGTTGCACCACCGTGCTGCCCATATCGTTACTACCATTAATTGCTTTTACTGTATTGTTGCTTGTTATTTGTCAATTTCCATTAAATTTTCAATTTACTACTTCTACAGCTTTGGAAAAGCCTATAGGCAAGTATATTTCAGAAGGTGCTTCTTTGTAAGAAAAAAGATTATTGGTAGCAATGCATCATACATAAAACAAAATTGGTCAAAAAGTGACAAATTTCCAAATACACAACAATGGTATTTTTGTAATACAAGTAAAAATGTGGTTCGTCGATGTTTCCCATCGCTGAGGGATTTGAATAGTGAATGTTTGTAATTTTTTCTGTACTGGAAATGATCAGGGAATGCAAGTGGACCCTAAATGGTTTTGGTTCAAAATGTTGAAGTGGGTATGAGTTACACTGTGTATAAGAATAAAAGTAGTTTTTTTACACGTTCATTTATTTATTTTGCTTGTCTGAGGCAGTGCCGAGTGACAAATCCCGATGAGTGAATTTTATCATTTTATCCATCACCACCAGCACAATGTTGGAGCCAGTGGTGGCCAATAGTGGCCTTGGCCATAAGGATCTTTTTACACATAAACACAGCCATACAAAATAGAAGTTGGCACGTTGCTTATTTTTCAAATTATCCACCTCACCAGATTTACGTATACGCATGGTGGCAGCCATCTTGGATTCTGGTGTGGTAACTCAATTTTCTTGATTTTTCTTACACCTAGACGAAGCCACAGACCAAAATGGAAGTCAGCACGTTGTTTATTTTTCAAGTTATTCATCTCACAAGATGGACAGACATTTATGGCAGTAGCCATCTTAGATTTTGACGTGGCAACCTAATTTTTGAAAGGAAACTTTCTTATGCCTAGACGACGCTACATACCAAAATGGAAGTCAGTACTTCACCTATTTTTGAAGTTATCTTGCTCAAAGCATGCACGCTTGAATGCACAGAAGGAATTTCCATATTACTCATGTTTGCTTCATGATTGGGGGAGGGGGGCAGTCATCAGGCCCTTACATAGTGGAAATATTAATTCAGAGTATAAACAAGTTATAGAATATCAAATCTTACACAACTATAGAGACGTTTTTATATCTTGTATGGTCAATGCATGGTCACAGTTTAAGTTGTTTGTTTTTTGAGTATTACATCACAGAATGCTTGACTGAGTGTGATGATGTCACACACTAACATATGAACTGCGTACATTTTCTAAACTTTTGCGAACACACTCTGCTTCTTCAAGATTTACACTTTTTATTTAGCTTGTACATTCAAGCTAAATAAAGGTAGCTTCAAGGTGGAGGTGGGAGTGCATCAAGGATCAGCTCTGAGCCCCTTCTTGTTTTCTCTGGTGATGGACCAACTAACAGATGAGGTCAGGCTGGAATCCCTATGGACTATGATGTTTGCAGATGACATTGTGATCTGTGGTGAGAACAGGGAACAGGTGGAAGAGAACTTGGAGAGGTGGAGGTATGCACTTGAACGAAGAGGAATGAAACAGCCGTAGTAAGACAGAGCACATGTGTGTGAATGAGAGGGAGGAGGTGGAACAGTGAGGCTACAAGGAGCAGAGGTCACAAAGGTGCAGGACTTCAAGTACTTGTGGTCAACTGTCCTGGGAAAATGGGGAGTGTGGTAAAGAGGAGAAGAAGAGAGTCCAGGCAGGATGGGGTGGATGGAGAAAAGTTTCAGGAGTGATTTGTGACAAAATGGTGGCAGCAAAGCTCAAATAAAAGGTTTACAAGACAGTGTTGAGAGCAGCTACGTTTTATTGTTTAGAGATAGTGGCATTGACAAAAAGACAGGAGAAAGAACTGTAAATGGCAGAAATGAAGATGTTGAGGTTCTCCTTAGGAGTGACGAGGATGGATAAGATTAGGAATGAGATCATCAGAGGTACAACACAGGTTGAACAACTGGGAGATAAAGTTACAGAGGGCAGAGAATGAGATGGTTTGGACATGTCCAGCCCAGAGGAGGGACTGTGGGTATATTGGTAGAAGGATGTTAGAAATGCAGCTGCCAGGAAAAAGACAAAGAGGAGATAAATGAATATATTTATTTTATTTATTCATTTAATTTATTTAGCTATATTTCTGTGAAATTTGTTTAAAACAGGTCTCTTGTAAATGAGTCCTTGAGGCTCAATGAGACTAACCTGTATTAATATAGGTTAAATGAATTAATGGAGTTAAAAGAGGACATGGAGGTAGATGGAGTGGGACAGAGGAAGCAGAGGACAGCGTGATATGAAGGAGCGTGACTCATTGAGGCCCCTGAAAAGGGAAGAGTTGAAATAAGAAGAGTGTAGCTACAGAATGCATTGGAATAAATAAAAGCAGGTCTCACCAGTTGGGGCAGGGTAACCATAGACCTCCACTTCGCAGAGTGTAAGAATCCTTTGTGAACCTGGTATTAAAACAACCACATAACGTCCCTCCACATGCTGAGAAAACTCTATAGTATGAGTGCCAGGGACTGAAGAAATTGTTGCAACCCTAATGGAAGAAGTTTGATGATGAATTTCTAAGTAGTAAACAACAACAAAAACAGATATACATGTCTATAGATTTGACAATGTGATTATTTAAATCAAATGTAACATTGTGCGTACAATAAAAAAAAAAACTATCAATTGCTAAAAACCTGTTTTATTCCCACGAGAGAATGCCCAGAAAAAAATTAGTGATAAAATCCCAGCGTTCCTTGAAGAAATGCATATTGCCTTATAGGGTATAGTTTTAGACTAACATATATTTTATGTTGGGAAACGATAAAGTTGTAGCCTTGAAAATAATTGCATGCTCATGCAATATCCCATGTCATGAGTACGCGTTGTAAATGACTCACAGCTGCTACTGCTTCACATTTTAGCTTAATGTCTAAGTTTGAGCCTTTCTTGTGTTAGGGAATGTAGATTAGCTGCGGTAGCCGACTTGAATGGGGTATATTTTGCTAACAGACTAATATTTGGTCAGTCTCAGCTACCACAACCCCAAACTTCAAGTCAGTATCTGTAAACCTGACTGATGTATACCCATTTTTGTAACGTTAGTTAGCTTTGGAAGCCATCTTGAATGTGGCTGACTCTTATCGATAATCATCTGTCATTTATCTACTTGTATCACGCGGTGTAATTAATAAGCTCCACTTACAGAGTGTTTGCAGTGCCATTGTCTTCTAAAGAGTTACCAATGTGAATCTCTGCTCCATTGATCCGCTCTGCACAACAGTCTCCTCTGTTGGTAATGGTGATGTGGTTTATTATATAACAGTCGAGTAGATCCACTCTCCACCAGGGGTTGAGTTGGGCTTTAGTGTGGGTACATGATCCATGGCCAAAGTCAGAATCTCGGTTTCCATCAATAGCATTGTAGGCAGCACCAAAAAAGACCACACTGTAGCGGTCTGACTGAGTTGCTTTCCCACGAAGAGCCACATTTTCTGGAAGAAGAAAACAAAATTATGTATAAAATTTTCTAGAGATTTATGTAGTCACTGGAAAAACTCTGTGCCAGTCATCTTATTGCAATTTGATTTTAATGTGTTGTCATTATTCTGTCTCAGCTATTTTTTTTTTTATTTTTTTTTACAATTGCTTGCACACTAAAATAAAGATTTTCCAAAACTTTAAACTGAAGTAGTAAAATACCAACCCAGACTTGCACAACTATGAGCACAGTGTCAGCCTCACACTTTCTGCAAATACTTAATGGATTCAAGTCCTGCTGACACAGAAAGATCCCATTGATATTTCTTTGCCATTTCATACAACTGACTTTTCAAACAACCACACCTACAAAATAACCAATTAAAAAAAAATTAAAAAAACCACATCCAGCTGTGTAAACACATGTGATTAACTGACAACTCTATGATCAGGTACAAACACGAAATAGATGCTGGAATATTTTGGCACAGAACAATCTTCCCATGACTTCTGCAAATAAGGAAATATCCTATGATAAATGAATGTTATGGTTATAGACCCAAATAAGCAAAGATTCTTTTTTCTTAGTTACTGGTTCTGTTGCTTACATTTATTGTATATTTATTTACTTTAGTGGTAGGTCTAAAATCCTCCTTTCAAATGAAAGTTTTATTATGGCACGTTTAGTCCGCACAGCCACAAAAGTCCAATCTCTGTACATCCGTCTATTTACTGTACTAACGTTTACCCAGATGAGGGTCACAAAAGAACCTGAACCTGTTTGAGTAACTTTGAAGAGATGATATTCGCTTTTGCTTGTTTGAGCAAACCATTTCTCTCAATAATAAAACTTATTTCAAATAAATTACTATTAACTTCTGTTTGTTTTATTCCCCATGACTTCCAATTACTATCACACATTTTACCTCCTTTATTGTAATACTCAACGTCATTAAACAATTCTAGTTTCCACAGTAATATATATATATATATATAATTGCAGCATACTTACGGTAGGTGGAAGCAGAGTGTGTTTGCAAGAAGAGCAGCAAATGAAGTAATATTGAGTGTTTCATGTTTCTAGATAAATCTGACAACAACAAAAATTAACAAACTGTAATTGTTACAATTATCTTCAGTGCATGTTGAAAAAATGTAAGCAGTAAAAATGATAATTTCTTTAACTAACTTCTGACAAATAACAAACCCAAAAATTTACAGAACTCACATTTTCACTAGTAAGTGAATGTTTAATGGGGTGATGAATTCCAGACCAGAGTCCTGATGAGATGAGAGAAACAAAAAAATGAAGTGCTTACCCAAAATCCTTTATGGACAGATGTTTTGTTATGAAGATCTTCTGTTACATTGTCTGGTGTCTACCTTTATAACACAACACATCCAATCATAACGCTCTGTGCAGTCTACTCCTCTTGATTCAAAATGTATTAATTTGTCATCACAGAACATGTTGCGCAATGTTTACTTAAGTTCAGAGTACTCTCAGAGTAAGCATCACAATCTTGCAAATGTTTTACTAAATAAGTACATGGAAAATCATGTGTTTTCCCCCTTTCTTGGTAATACAATGCACAAAAATTAATGTTGGGTTTTCCAGTTTGACCTTAATTTCTTTCCTAGAAAAAAAACTTTATTCACTCCATGACAAGAAACAGTTCAGTTTTGTGTTAAAACTGTTTTTGTTTCTTTTTCCTCAATTTATGCTCAGCCTTACCTTCTCTTGAAGTACACAGTAAATGTATCAAGTAACTCTTCATTGCAACATTTGTCTGTTTTGTTTTGCCCAATAAATGCCAGATTTATATGTTTAATGAGTTTTAGATGTGGACATGGCTGCTCTGGTATCTGTATCTCAGTGCAACATGAATTGAACATTTAAATGATTTGCTTAACAATTTACTCCAGTTAATAAAGATCCACAATTTACTTTACAATACTTGAAAATATTGCTACAGACTATTTGGTGCTTAATAGCAAAGCAGACATTCAGAGGTTAAGATGAGTTCATGTCTTTCTGGGTCAGGGCTGTTTATATTTGAAAAGTGATTCAGCTTAGTCGCTATTAGGAGGTTGGTCACATCATCATGGCCGGTGACTCAGTTGGTAGAGCTGTTGCCTCTTAGTGAGAAGGTTGCTAGAATAAATCCAGGCCGAGGGGCCGTTCTGGGTGAGGTTTTCATGTTCTCTTTGTAAATGCGTGGGTTATCTCTACTCCACTTTCCTCCCACAGATCAAAATCATGCATGTTAGGCATGCCAGTTAGTAAAGTTCTCTATCTAAGGAAGCCAGCAGACTCTCTGAACCTTCATTTTGTTGCAGTCTCCCATCCTGAGCAAACACAATGGCGACAGTGGAAAGGAAAAACTCCCTTTTAAAAGGAAGAAACCTCCAGCAGAACCAGGCTCAGGACAAGCGGCCATCTGCTTTGACCAGCTGGGTTTGACAGGACAGGAAGGAGAGGCAAACGAACACAGAATGGCAGGTCCAGATATAGGTGCAGGTGTACCTGAAAGACAAAAACATGTCGAGGATAGAAAAAATAATTACAAATACAAAACAGGTTGAGCAGAGTAAGTAAAGACAGTAGTAAAGTGAAAAACTGTGGTCAGTTTGTCCTCCAGAAGTCTAAGCCTATAGCAGCATAACAAACCAACCCTATAGGATTTATCAAAAATGAGAGACTTAAGCCCAGTTTTAAAACTGGACAATGTGTCAGCCTCACGGACAGAAACTGGAAGTTGGTTCCACAAGAGAGGAGCCTGATAACCAAAAGCTCTGCCTCCAATTCTGGTTTTGGAAACTCTAGTAGGAACCGCAAGTAAACCTGCAGTCTGGGAGCGAAGTGCTCTGTTAGGAAAGTATGGAACAATAAGATCTGTAATATAAGATGGAGCCAGGTTGTTGAGAGCTTTCTTTGATGTTTATTTGATGTATTTCTCTGCAAGACCTAGGAAAACACTGATGGAAGAGAGTCTTTAAATTTGGTTACAGCGTTTTCTGATAAGCACCTGCTAAGATGAAATTTACTCTCAGTGACTGTGTAGTCATTTATTGTAAACTCAAGGGTAATTAAAAAATGGTCAGACAGAACAGGATTTTGATGATGTATTGTTAAATCCTTAATCTATATGCCATACTTTCTCCGCAAGCTGAAAAGAGCTGGAGCTCCAACCCCCATCATGTGCACCTTCTACAGGGGTGCCATAGAGAGTGTTTTGACCAGTTGCATCACGGTGTGGTTCAGTGCATGTACTGCATCCTGCCGCAAGACCCTCCAGCGCATCGTGAGAGCAGCCAAGAAGATTGGCTGCACCTCCTTCCCCTCACTGCATGACTTATACAGTATCCGCCTCACTCGAAAAGCCCTCTGCATGGCGGGTGATACACATCCACTACACAGCTTCTTCAGCCTGCTGCCATCATGGCAGCAGGCTGAAGAAGCTGTGTAGTCTCCAGGCTCAAACTAGCAGACTGAGAGACAGCTCTGTTCTTCAGGCAGTCAGGATGCTAAACTCTCTGCCTGCTTTGCCTCCCCTCCCTCTTGTACTGCCTTAACTCAAAAAACTTTCACACATTACCACACAACATAAAGATTGTTAACACTGAACTCTGCATCATTAAAAACGGGTTATACACTCAACACAGGCTCATGTGCTCATTCAATTTGCACTACTGTTTATATTACACTACTGTTTATATTATACTACTGTTTATATATTTTTTACTAGCCTTAGTGCATAGGTCACTTTACCTCTATACATATATGTTACTTTCATTCTGAGATGCTGTGCAGCTGGAAGGATTTTTACTGAAACCGTTTTACTTTTGGGCATTTGTTATGATGCGTAACCATGGCAACAAGTTGTTTTTTAACAACCAGGAGCTGCTGATTAACATCTCAAAAGCTCAAATACCTCAGCTACAGCCCCAAATCCCAAATGATTTGAAAAGGAGGCGCTGTGGATGGATTCCCATCAACCTGGCAGGGGTGATCAAGTACCTGATCATCGAGCTCATGGAGCTCTTGGGAAAATCGGCTCGTGACAACGGGAGTACGTCGATCGCACCCCGGCACCTTCAGCTGTATGTCCATTGCAACGAGGAGTTTTCGGGCAGTCCTGCTGCCCAGGAGGACCGAGAGGCCCGTCGGATCTGACAGCAAGCTGGATCAGGGTGGACAGATCAGTATCCGTGGCCAGATTCTTCGAATTTGCTGCAGGAGATCCTTCCTACCCACAGCTATCAGCATCTAACAAATCTTGAATGAAACCAGAATGATGAGCTACGACAACACTTAATTTCCCTCTGGGATTAATAAAGTATTTTTGAATTGAATTTGAATTTGAATACCAATATCAAAGACTTCATACATATACTGTGTACATTCATGTCATATGCTGCTTTGTCACTTTAGTACAAATGTAAATGTCAGGACCTTCATTTTATAGATATACCTTTTTTAATATATATTTTTATACTGCTATACTTACAATTTAGGACAGTATCATACTTTTATTATTTCATTTTATGCTAATGTTTATTAAATGTTTTAATGTTTATTGTTGCACCAAGGGTCTGAGAGTAACGGAAGTTCAATCCTGTACATATTGCAGTTTTCACAATAAAGTTGACTTTGATAAGTCAGAACAAGGTCAAGAGTGTGATGATGAGAGTGAGTAGGTGTTCTGACATTTTGGGTGAAACCATCCATCCATCCATCCATCCATCCATTATCTTTTCCCGATTCTTCCATTTTTGGGTCACGGCGGTCGCCAGTGCCCATGTCCAGCAGTCACTGTGCGAGGGGCGGGGTACACCCTGGACAAGTCGCAAATCCATCACAGGGCCACATATAGAGACAGCCAAGCATTCACTCTCTCATGCACACCTAGGGACAATTTAGAATTACCATTTAGCCTAACATGCATGTTTTTGGTCTGTGGGAGGAAACCAGAGTAACCGGAGTAAACCCAGAGGCGCCCCGGGACCGGGATTTGAACCACGGGCCTGCTCACTGAGAGGCAGCAACTCTACCAGTTGCGCCACGGTGCTGCCGTTCTAAGAACGTGAACATTTAAATAATTAGCAGGAGTGGATTCATAGTAACAAAATCCTCCTGTTTTAGCCATGTTTCTGTTAGACAGAATAAATCAATATGATCAGTTATCAGTTCATTAACTAACAGGGATTTAGAGGAAAGAGATCTGATGTTCACTAATCCACATTTAATAATTTTATGATCTTGCTCTGGTAAAGTAACTATTTATTTTAATAATATTTTTATGGTTTATATTTTTAGAGCTGATTTTTGGTTTATTTAATTTGAGTTGTTGGCGTGTTGACACAGTTTCAATGGTGGTGTGGGTGGGTAAAAGACATGTGTGGAGGACTACAACTCTGCTTCCTGGACTTGACTCTGGGTTGTCAATAATTCTCTGATGAGAAGATGATTCACTGCAATGTGTCCTGTCTCCTGGGTCTCTACACCTGGAACCTTCAGACTGACAGGAAAAAAAAATGCAGAAGACTTTTTCTAATTTAGAAATAATATTTTAGAACTACTACCCTCTAACTAGAGGCTATGGTCCATCAGAACCTGCGCCCCATGTCACAAAAACAATTAAGCCTCATCAGCTGTTCTACTAATAAACACCTGGATATTATCTGGTCTCAAGTTGCAAAACAAACATGCATCCCATGTAAGCGTTTCAGCGAGACAAAGGTCTTCTCAAGATGGCTGCCTAAAATCTTGCCGTGCACCGTCAGTTGCCATTGTATTGAGCGCAGTGTGTTTTTTATTTTTTTTATTTTTATTTTTATTTTTTATTTTTTATTATTAATAACACACAGAACTACAAAACACTACAAAAGAGAAAGATATATACAAACACTCGTGAAGGGTGTCAGAACTACAGTTTACAAGCTAGGGGGGGTTACAAAATGATAAAAATTGAGTAATACATATATAAAAAAACATTAAATGAAAAGAATAAACATAAGAAACAAAAAGGAGCAAAACAATATGAGAAACTTAAAACAACAAGTTTTTTGATATCTGTTGTGAAATGGTTCTAGCAGTTTTCCAGTTTTTTAATCTACTTATTGAAGAATAGTACAACTTGAATTCGTTCATAAAACACGGGAAGGAGGGCTTATTATCCCTCCACTTACTACAATGAATGTGGTACTTTGCTATAAGGATGACTATATTTATAGCATCAGAGTAAGCTGAGCTTAAATTATCCATATAAAATGGCATCAGCATCAAAGGGAGGAATGTTAAGTTTTAGATTAATCCAGTTTGTAATGTCAGTCCAGAAACTTTGTGAGTATTGACATGAAAAAAACAAATGTTCAAGGGATTCATCTTCAGATTTACAGAAGGTACACAAATCCACCTCAAATTTAAATCTTCTGTGCAGAAGCATGGCTACTGGATAGATCTTATTTATTATTTTAAAATGGTTTTCTTTCACTTTAGGAGATATAGGCCATTTGACAAATTTTGAATGAGCAGAAGTCATTATGGTTTTATGATTTATATTGGGAGGTTTCTTGAATGAATCTTTGTTGTAATCATAGTAAATCGTTTGTCGCATGCATTCATTGATCATCTTGTTATTACATTTGAGATCAACTAAACTACAGTCATTTAGTTTTAATGTGGGCATGGAAACGGTCACCTTTGAATACATAATGATATTTTTAATTAACTGAATCAAGGCTAAAGGGATTGCTTTACATACCTTCATAAAATCTTTATGGCAGCAGCTAAGGTTATATTTTCTAACAAAAGATGAGAAATTTAAAAGATCTCCATTACAATCCAAGATGTCTGTTACAAAAATGATGCCTTTTTCATACCAGTCTTTTCTAAATATTGACTTTCTGCCCACTGTGATTGCTCTATTATTCCACAAAGTTGATCCATGAGGTGAGAAATTATGGTGAAATATCATTTTCCAGAACTGAAGAACTTGTTTGTGGAAGTTTGATAATTTAACTGGAATCTGTAGGCAAACGTGTGTAATGCCTACAGATGTCCAGATGACCTGACTGAAAAATGTTGGATTGAGCATGGATTTTGTTGTAATGCCTACATTTCCCATAAATCCCTACGCAAGTTACGTCAACAATTTTGCGCATGCGCAGTATCATTTGAAAACTTGCACGGTGAGGGACGCGGTTGAGGAGCTAGACAACGCAGCTAAACACACAATGGCGACGGCGGCGACAACAGCAGGCGGAACAGGCTCAAGCGGACCAGCTACGGGTTCGGTAGGCAGCGGAACTGCTGTAGGACGAAAGAAAGACGGCGGCCCTTCTTCGAAATTTTGGGAAAGTTCTGAGACGATATCCCAGCTGGAGACGGTGCGGCTTTGGATCGGAAAGCACTACAAGAAGGTGGGTTAGCTTAGATGCTGCTTATCCATTGATTTCCATCAAGGCCCGCGTCTCGTTTGCACAATGGAGCGCTGGAGTATTTTGAAACTTTAGCTACGTACATAAAGCTAATTTGAGCTAAAGTTGTTCAGTTTTATTCGTATTTATAAACTATTTTTCTGAGTATGCACGGAGGGCGCTTTTGTAAAATATCAACACACTTTGTTCCCATTCGAGCTTGTCACCTAGCTCAAAAGTTAGCTCGCTAACCACACAGTGATGCTATTCGTAATTGTAACTATATAAAACAATAGTGTATGTAAATTTTTAAATAGTAAACGAACGGTCTGGTTGTGGTAATAAACACACGCATAAAATGCATGTGCCTTTGTTTATTTTAACATTAATGCTACATTAATGAGAGATCACAGAAGCTAACGGAAAAGTCACGGGACGTCATCCATTCAGGATTAAAATAAACACAACATGCCTTTTTTATTCTATTGTAAATAATGTTTAAGCCAGAAACTAATCCTGAGAACTTCGTGTGATGGTTCGGTTACATTTTGTGTGAACATTTTCCTCTAGTGTTTTGTGTCAACACAGCAACATATGAGACAGTGGAGGCTGCAGATGCTCGCCCACTTTAGCTAGCTGAATAAACAGTGTTCGTGTCCTCTCATGCACTGATTCAAACCATCACGTCTAGACGGCTTGAATTATAATCTAGGTATGGTTTGAATTACCGTAAATAACACGAGAGAAAATGTGGATGCTGGTTTGAGGCTCATTTGTTACAGCAACCCATTCAAAAACAAGTTGTATGCACAGTCATTTGTCAGATCAGGGCTTAAATGAGACTACTGTTAAATTAGAATTTGTCATTATTGCTTGAGAAAACTAACCTCAAGCCAAAAAACTATTTTGTGTGGAAATCCTAGTAAATTTAGTTACGTACGTTTATCAGTTACAAGACAAAACAAATCGCACTGCTGAACAACCTTTTGGTACCTGACAGTTTTTTTTTATAGCATTAACCAGTTTGCTGTTATTTACAAATTAAATTGTCAGTGGTTGCTAATTCTGAGGTCATCATATGAGCTGCAGATTTGTTCATGAAATACATAATTGTGATTAGTACCTGATAAATTGTGCAGTTGTTGTTCTGTTCCATACTGCAACATGTGATATTGTTAAACTTTTGTATGTTCTTCATAGTTAATCACAACAACGTACTATTGTTGTTATGCTGCTAGTGCTTAGTGTATTTTTAGTTAACATTTTTCTTAGTTCATATCTTAGATCTTATTACTGTTTTTCTTTTACATTTTATACTTTTGTTTGATGTAACTGGGACCCTGCGTACACAGTTTCGTTCCAGCGCATGTAGCACGTGGTGTGAACGACAAATGAACCTTGAATACTAAAGTGTGAAAAGAAGTAAATGCATATTTGTTTGTTATTTAGAATTGTAATCTGCAGATGTGCTACTCTCAGATGTTTTTGCACATCATCACTACGAAGTGTGTTAATGAAGGCTGTTTTCTTTTCTCTTACTAGTATGTCCAGAACGACTCTCCCTCCAGTAAGTCTTTGGCTGGCCTGGTGGTCCAGCTGCTGCAGTTCCAAGAGGATGCGTTTGGACGGAGGGTCAACAATCCTCCTCTTACCAAGTTACCTGTAAGTATACTCTCATTAATCTGTGACTTGACTTGAATGCTAAAATTTCACTTTCTCTATCTTTATCATCTTCTTTCAGGCCAAGTGTTTTTTGGATTTTAAGGCGGGAGGTGCTCTCTGTCACATTTTAGGATCAGTTTACAAATTTAAAAGCGAGCAGGGCTGGTGAGTGCTTTTATTGGTAACGTCAAAACTTTTGTACATTATTTGCTGTTTGTGTAATGTAGGCATGACACTGGTGGCTCTTTGTGAAGGAGTACTGGCAGTGGTAAAGACTTTTCTCAAAAGCATCTTTACTGACGGATACATATTTCTTTTAGAACTTATGGTGTTTCTTATGCAAATTTTAAATGATGGTTGTTAAATATAAATAAGCGGGCGGAAAAATAAACTTTCTGTCTCTGTCCAAATCCAAGAGATTACTTTTAACATTTTAAGAGTTGTGATTGCTTGTTGAAACCATATGTCATGGTAATATATTTTGCATTCTGAATTCTTCTCTTAGGCGAAGATTTGACCTGCAGAATCCCTCACGGATGGACAGGAATGTTGAAATGTTCCTAAATGTTGAGAAGAACCTGGTCCAGGTATGAGCAATGAAGTCTTCACACAGGGTGCAAGCTGTAGATGGTATTCATGCATAGTGTGGATATGTTTAATTGTATGATCTTTTTTTATTTTTGTTTGATTGTTTAGACATTTTGATTCTTACTTAAAGTTTTTTCTAGAATAACTGCTTGACTCGGCCCCTCGTCTACCTGTCACCAGATATTGAGCAGAAACAAGCCAATAAGCTCAAAGACATCATCAAAAGACACCAGGTGAGCCCATATCAATCTAGGAAATGTTTGTTAAAAATATGTTTTGTTGACTAGATGTAATGTGTCTGTCTCTTTATCTTCAGGGCTCCATTACAGAGGATAAGTCAAAGGCCACCCACCACATTTACCCTTCTCTGTCTCAGCAGGAAGAAGGTTTGTTAGGCATCTCTGTGACAGACTGAATTTGACATTTACTGTTGGGTTTTTCAGCAAAGATGTTTGTTTTGTTCCTAACTTGATCAATCTCGTTTGAGAGTATTTGCCTATACCAAATCTTACTCCAATGTTTTAATTTTTCTACAAACTAAAAGTGCATTTAGGATATTTAAAATAATTCCATGTTCTTGTTTGCAGTTGCTTTCCACAGTAACAACCTTTAATCTTGGAGTTCAGATATTTTTCTGAGAAGCATGGTTAAAAAAAACTAAATACATTTGTAATTGCCATGTAATTGTTTTCAAGTCCTGCTGATGTGCCACAGGGTTTTGAACATGCAACTGCAATTCAACCACCTCAGCCTCAACAGACATTTTAGTAGTATGGACGACAAATGACAAAAATACCTAATTAACAATTAAAATGTTTATTGGGTACAAATAAGTTGACCTAACTTTGAAGTTCAAACGGAAAAAATGCAACTCAACATATGTGAGAGTGCAGTATTATTCAACCCCCAACTTTAATACTTTGTGGTGCATTCTTTATCTTTTATGACTGCCAACAAATGGTTTTGATAAGTGCTGACATCTCTCCGATGGAACTTTTGCCAATTCTTCACGCTCAAAAGTTTCAGGCTGGGTGATGTTTGATGGCTTCTTTGCTGCAACTGCCGTCTTTAAATCCCACCCAGATTTTCAATCAGATTTAAATCTGGTGACTGAGGATCTTTTTGTCAACCCAGCTTTGGTTGACTTGTGGGTGTGCTTGGGATCGTTGTCTTGCTGGAAATTCCAGTGATCACCAAAGTTTAATTTGTTGACTGAAGGCATCGTTCCTCTTCAGAATGTCCTGATATTTCTGGGAATCCACAATGCCAGGTACATGATCAAGATTGCCAGTTCCTGCTGCAGAAAAGCATCATCAATGATCCACCTCCATGCTTGACTGTAGTTATTGCATTTTTTTGATCATATGATCATAAGCCCGGCCTTTCACACACTAGACATACCGCTGGTCCATATGTTCAAACACTTCCAGTTTGGTTTCATCAGTCCATAAAACTCTCCCAAAACTCTGTAGACTTGTCCAAATTCCTCCTGGCATATTATGGTTAATTTTTTATGTTCCTTATGGTCAAAAGTGGAGTGCGTCTTGGTTGGATCATGAAGACCTTTATGCAGTGTACGCCTTATGGTTGCGTCTGAAGCACTAGTGCCAGCCTTCATGTCATCCTGTACGTGTCTTGCAGTCACATGAGGGTTTTTCTTAGCTGTCCAGACTAAAGTGCTGAGCTCCTGATGAAATTTGGGGTTTTCTTTCACAGCCAGGCAGGCTTGCAGCTGTTCCATAATTTTTGAGCTTTCTTATAATGCTCCCAAAGGTGTGTCTTGGAATATTAAACATTTGGGAATCTTTTTATACCCAAAGCCCTTCAGGTGTAATGAAATAGTCTCCTTTCTTGGTTTTTCTGGACGCTCCTTTGTCTTTTCTATGATTGCAGCTCACCTTAATACTTTCATGGGTGAGTTTATTTATACACATTACAGCTGAAGCAAATGAAGGGTCATTATCAGTTCCACTTTAGGCCAGAAGAACTGTTAAATGGCTTTGAAAATAAAAATATTATGCAGGGGTTGAATAATGTGCGACATTGCTGGCTTGGCAAAATAAAGTGTTACATTGCTTTTATGTACCACTAAACTCAAGGAATTCATCCAAAGCAGAATCTTTAATTGATAAATCATTAAAACTTTTGGCATGTTGAATAATTCAGATTGCAACTGTTTTTATTTTACTTTTATAAACAAAACAATTTACAGTAGTCCCTCGCTGCTTCGCGGTTCGTTTTTCGTGGACTCGCTCTATCACAATTTTTCAAAACAAGATTGGACATGACGAACATTTGGCTTATTGATGGATGAGCTGCACGATCGGCATAGACTTTTTATTTAAAATTAATCATTTAAAATTATTTAGCACCTGTGTGCAGCTCAAGCTGCAGGAGAAGCTTCTTCATGCATCGTGTCATATCTCCTTATCTGCAGTGGAGAAGTGGGCGTGGCCAAGAGCGCTGGGCAGGTGTCAGAGTGCAGCTGAGGCAGAGAGCTGAAATCATGACATTCTGTGCTCTTTTAAAGCGTTTAGATAAGGGCTATTCAACTTACGGCCTGCGGGTCATTTCTGGCCCGCAGGTGACTACAATCTAACCCACTTCATTAAAAATAAATAAATATCTATATATTTCTTTTTTGGTTCTGAGTTTGGGTTTTGGGTTCTGTTTATTGCATTTATGATTCAGTGCAATAAAATAAACGCATTTAAAAAGTAACAAATCATTGTAAAACTTGGTTTATTTGCATAATGAGTTTATTTACATAATGATTTTTAATCGCTGGCTGTCCGACCCCGGAGCTGTTCGTTTTCAGAAACTGTGGCTGCCTGAGCAGTTTTGTTGGATAGCCCTGATTTAGAGTTTAGAAACATTGTTTAGAATATTTCAAGAGTGTGGGAAAGGTTTAAATGCCTTAATATATATATATATTAATTCAACCTTTATTTATATAGGTTAATCCCATTGAGCCTCGGGGACTCATTTACAAGAGAGACCTGATATATAAAAATAAACTACCACTTACTACTTGTACTAATATTCCTACTTCGCGGTTTTTCATTTATCGCGGGTTTTCAGGGTACTGATCCCCCGCAATAAACGAGGGACTACTTTATAATCAGATTAAACAGTAATTTTTTTTTTCTAGTTGCATGTTAGTACAAAGTACCATTACAAAATAAAACATTAAATATAAGAATACAACTTTTTAAACAGCTTGTAATTTTCTCTTAACGTCTTGTTCTGTTTTGTTTGTAAACAAAACTTTTTTTGTTTGTTTGTAATTGCTCTGTTTAAAGATTAATGACTGAACTTTGACTAAAAGTGCAGAAGCTATATCTGTCACATTTGTCTTTTTGAAACGGTGTAGGTATTTTAGGACATCACAAAATGCAAGCAGGATGTAAAAATATTGCAGTTAGTTTCTGAAGTTGTGAGTTGTGTGTTTTGTGTTTTTCAGAGGAGTGGTTGCGTCCTGTCTTGAGGAAGGACAAGCAGGTGCTCGTTCACTGGGGCTTCTACCCAGACAGGTAAAAACAGGAGCAGGGGGCCGGAAGGGTCTCAATCTACCCAGAGGGGTCACCGCTAGAATTATGGCTAACCCCTACTGCAGCCTCTCCTCCAAGGGGTATACTGTATCGAACTAATCTATCACTTGAGTATTACCCAAAGTAGCCTTAGGTTAGTTTTGCTTAAGGCTGTGTTGAAGGTGATTCACCCAGATTATTAACAACCTTCATTTGCAAGTCACACCCTTATCTCACCCCATGACTCGCCCAACCTAGCAGCCGGGGTTGGATCGTTGCCCATGGGGAAAACTCACATTAACGGTCGCCCACCTTCGGTTGTAGAACTGCAATTGTTACAGATCTGGTATTTTTTAGAATCTAGACATAAGATTCCAGGATCTTTTTTAATCAAAGCTCAGAAAACTTGAAAAACCTCCTCTTTTTGTTAGAATTGAACCAAGCTTTCCAAATCCATGAGTACGAAGCGTAGAAATGATAGTCCAGAGTTTTACGTTTTATGCTTTGCTTTAATTAATGATTTGCAGGGGTACAGCATTATCAGCACTATAATTGGTTACATTTAATTATTCAAAAAGATAAATGATAGAGAGTCCATGCCTTGTTCCAGGAAATATCCTATTGGTCAGATGGGACGTTCAAGATTTGGGGAGTCCACCAAGGTAAGGCTCTCCTAGCTCCGATGAGCTGTGTTAGGAAATCTTGAATCCTAGAGCATAGTTGGTCCACTACAGTGCAGCCTCGTCTTATTGGAATGGACTGTTATGCATTTGGAGCCCCAATGCATTTTAAATCCCCACAAACACCTAAGACTCTCCCATGAGCCAATCAGATTTCTAAGCAAAACTGTTACAATCAACCTTGACAGCACACAATTTATGTGACAACTTTTCAAGAGGGCTGGAAGCAGGACAACACTCTTAATCTAACCTTTCCCTCTCAATTATGGAAACACTGTTATTTCGTATAAAATTTAGCAATTGGACAATATGTTAGGGGTTGCTCACCATTTCTGTCCGAAGACCTTTGGAAAATGGCAAGAGAAGTCTCTCCTCCAGAGCCCTGGAAGGAATCACCCTTAGCCCCCAAAAGCAGTCCTAATCTTGAGGGGTCTGGTCTGGCATCAGCTCGGCTGAACAAGGGAGCATTCCTATCTTGATGAAAAAGAAGTCCCTTCTGAGCTGTTCAAATCCCTCTGAGTGGCTCCTGGGGCGATAACTATATTATCCTGTCTTGTCGACTCCATGGTCCGTTCAGCACTTCCCTGTTGCTGTGCCTGGTTTATATAGACGGATTTGCTGGACAGAACCAGTTTTTCCATTGTACCATTCTGGTGTCATCCTCTGATTGGCCTCAGCTCTTTAGAGCCGTTGGTTTCTCGGAACACAAAAAGACTGTCTCCTAACTGTGCCCTTTTTGAAGGTATGGAGTTGTTCTGCTCAGCTCCTCAGTTACTAACACATGAGTCTTATTACAGCACTTTTCTTGGTGCTCGTTTTAATAATAACATCCACCTGTTTACTCAGCTCCCTTATTTATCCTGGAATGCTTTCAGGCTCTCTTTAAGTGGACAATCATAAATCAGGATAAGGTAATGCACTGTCCTCCATCTCAATCTCAACATGCAGTGTTCACTCTATTCTAATCACAGAATACAGTATAAATCTTATATAATCTCAACATGCAGTGTTCACTCTATTCTAATCACAGAATACAGTATAAATCTGTCACACTTGCAGCCTATAGGCAGGGGACGATTTCATCAAATATGACATTACTTGACAAGGGGCATTGACAAAGATTTTTGCTACACTGGATGAGTTTTCATTCTGTGTTTATAGAATTTGCAAATTGTTTATTTTGTGTTTTATTAAACAATATAGATGTGTATCCATAATAAATAAAACGCACAAAAAAATCTAATTTTCAAGGTTTATTTTGCTAATTGCTTTTGGTCCAGCAGCAAATTTACTGAACGCACTGACTCGTTATTGTTCTGTTTTGTTAGCTATGACACGTGGGTGTCTGCTGGTGACGTGGAGAGTGATGTGGAAGATCCTCTCAGCACCGACCGACCCTGGAAGGTGAGGCGTCTTCTACCAAATGGATGTTTTTGGTATTGAAACCTTAACTGCATTTCTGAGGAACGAGCTTTTAGTTAAAAACACTAAAACTGGTTTGTCTGTCCAAACTATACATTTCAGATTTATAAATTTTTTCAGTGTTGGCCTTTCTGCTTTTATATTCTGTTCATTACAAAACATGAATTTGGTTTAAACATAAAAAAAACTTTATCTAGTTAATCTTATTGATTTAATCAGTATTGGTATCAGTATAAATCAATGAAAGTTATCTAGTTTAAAACGCCGGTGAAAAACAGCAAAACTTTGTTGTTTCACTTCTCATCTTCATTGAATTTCCAATCAGGTTCACGCCAAGTGGGTTCAAGACACAGATGCCTTCAATGAGTGGATGAACGAGGAAGACTATGAAGTAGACGAGAACAAGAAGCCAGTGAACTTCAGGCAGAGGATTTTCCCCAAAGAGGAAGAGGTATGTGTTTGTGTTGAATGCGTTTCACTTTTAAGTTTTAATGATTTTTTTTAGTATTGTTTTATCATTTCACCTCAGAATTACTGTGAATATCAGCAGCTTTCCTGACTGAGCAGGCTTTCTGTCAAAGTTTAAGCACTATTACTGATTCCTGCACTGTATGCAACCTCAGTGATTATTATTTTTTAGTTGAAGAGCTTGTGTGAATGTTTGTGAGTGAGGATGTGTTTTGTTGCACGCTTGTATTTTGTTGTGTGTAGTTTTGCCGTGTGGATCCTTCTTTGTTGGTTTCCTTTGTTCGTATTTGGCTTCAGTCTGTTGGTCATCCTTTTCAAACTTTTCCTCGCACTTTGCCGTCTTGTGTTATATTTCAGGGTTCCTGTACATGTTTAGAGAAGGAATATACATACAGTAGTCCCTTGCTACTTATATTATATATGTATATATATCTATATATATCTATATATATATAAGTAGCAAGGGACTACCGTATGTATATTCCTATATATTAGGAATGTGCGATATGGCATAAAATTCATATCACGATATGTATTGAGAAGGCTGGCGATAACGATATATATCGCAATATGTTTTTGGTATAAAACTTGCTAAAAAAAAAGCATAGGATGCCCTTTTGCCATCATATTTTGAATTAACAAAAATTCCACTACTAGGTTCAGAGAGTTTTTAAATAATAAACAAATCAAGTATTAGGCTTATTTCTTGTAGTGCAAAACAGTGCAAAAGATATCAAATGTAGTTTTAGCCATATGTTTTAAACAAAAGAATATGTTGTTAACTTTTAACAGTTTCCAGTCTTTTCACTTAAGAAATGAACAGCAACAGAGCAGCAACTGAAAACACTTCACCCTCCAACCATCTAGTGGGCGACTCCTTCTGCTTTAAGGGGAGCTGACACAAAATGAATCTGTGGCTTTGACCAGAGGGTCTGGCAGTAAAATCACACAACACAGCGTTCTTTTCACAGATCAGAGAGCAGGTTTCTCTAAAGCTGACCAACGCTTACTTTAACTTTCGACGGAAAAAAAAAAACTTTAGATGGAACACAGGTTTTGCACATGCGTCAGAATACGACAACTCTACGGCAAGCCGGCTGTGGTTAGCTTGTAGCTTCTCTACTTAGCTCCTGAAGAAATGACTTTAACGCCACTTGCGCACAGTTTTCAACAAAAAAAAAGTAACGACTAAACTGACAACTCTGATTTTACTTCAGACACAGCATTACTGCAGTTAGCCGGTAGAAGACAGATCTCTATAAAATAAACTACTACTGCTTACTACATGTACTACTGTTCCTATGGTTTTTCACTTATCATGGGACTTCAGGGTACGGATCCCCCTAGATAAATGACGGACAACTGTATATGAATTTTATGAAGTTTGAGATTACCCTGTTAAATTACATTAGATGTTTTACCCCCTACACAATTCTAACTTCAAAGCCACATATTTTCTTATGGGGTGGGGGGGTTAATTATTATTTTTATTAGATTTTTGAAAGCAAATAAAATGACAATCAGACCTAGCAAATTATGACAAATCTGTCTTGTTGTCAGATATTCTTTTTTTCAATTTGCAAGAATTTAACCTGGCCAAACTGCAGTGAACCACTGTTTAAGGTCTGTATTTTTATGAGGTGTCAGTGTTCAGGAACCCTGCTTGTGTCCTCCACCACCCAACATCCTCCCCCCCACCTGCTGTTGTTCTCCTACTGCTTCCCCTCCTTATGTGTGCAGCCAGTCCATCCTCTCATACTGCGGCTCTTTCTCTCATCCTCCATCCCTCGCTTTCTGCGCTGCTCGGGGTTTGTCTGATCAGTCTTCCCGTACACCTGATCGCAAGGAGCGCAAGGCAAACTCTGCCAGCAAGAAGAGGAGACGCTCGCCCTCGCCACCCAGCACTCCTGCAGAGTCCCGTAGGAAGGGAGGAAAGAAGGGGTAAGAAGTCCAGTCTGGCACTGGAGAATAAATGAGAATATAGGTTTTCAACTGTTTTATCTGTTTTAACGCTGCTCAAAAATAAAAGTGCAACAGGTCTCAGAGAGTCAACAGCTAGACTTTACTTGTCCATGTTTAGGTGGGAGCTGGTGCTACAAAGAAAAGCTATTATTTGAAATATCTAACTTCTTCCTAGCTTAATTAAAGTATCCGTGCTGAAATATTGTTTGCAGTGAAAGTTGATCGGCTCTCACGAGTTCCAGTTTTACTGACCCTTTAACTCGCTTCAGGAACTCAGGACCGCACTGGAAGCGACGAGGCCACAGAGGAGAAGAGGAAGACACGGAGGACGACATGACAAAGGACTTGGACGACTCGTCTGCTGGCGCCAGCATGGAGGACGGCTGCGTGTCCAAGAATGGTACGTACTGAAGCACAGGGAAAAGCAGCACAAAATCACTTTAAATAATGAGCTTGAAGCATCAATTTGCGAAATTCTGTTTGGAAAATTAGTTTTAAATGTTTAACCTCTTTTATAATCTACAAAACAAAAGAATGCATCAATGCTGTTATACAGTTTTTATTTTGAAGAGTGTAAAATTAATGTTTTATAACAGGTTCTTGTGGATCATATGCTGGTGCAGGTTATTCACATAAAGTCTGTAAAGTTTAGTTTTACTATTAGATTTAAATGGTTTTAGTTCTTTGTGAGACAGAGGGTCAGTTGATTGTTGAGCAAAGACATAATGTACCACAAGTACACATTATTTTTAGTTACATCAACTAATTTGAGATGCATACACATCAAATATAACATGAGTCTATGTTGTGTAGGTCTACGTTTATCTGGATTTTACTCTTAATCAAACTTGCCCTCTTTAAATTTGGGTTTACAAAATCTTTTTATTTTGTCGTTGCTTGCTTTGTTCTGCTTCTCTGTTATTCTTGATTTGTGGTGGATTGTATCCGACCCCCCATGTAAGAACTATAAACTGACGCGGGGTTTTAAAACGTCCGCTCAACATCAGAAAATGTTCTCACCAAGTCTTTCATTAAGAGAAGAAAAAACAATATGGTTGTTTTGGATTACAGTATTATTTTTTGGACTCTATTGTAAAGATTTTCTTTCAAACCAAACACCAACCTGACCTTAAAATGCTTTTTTAAGACCAAGTCCCATTTGCAATGTCCCACTTATGAGAACTATATTCTGTAGCAAAGACAGTGTTTGGTAGCTTATATTAGCAATCGTCATTTCCGTGTCATTTTATGCCTCTACGCCCGACAGCTGTATTATACCGTCTTTGAAGAGGTTTTTTTTAAACCTTTTGTCTCCTGTGCGTTTCACTTGGGTCATCTTTCTTTTTGGCTTCATGTACAGCAAATTCAAAAAAAGACAGCGAGAACACTCCAGTCAAAGGAGGGAACGTGGCAGACTTGGGTTTGTATATTTTAACTGCATTTGTATGCTTAGTTGTGTATTTATTCATTAAAAAATAGCTAATAAATGTTAAGGTAAAAGCTCAAGCTGTATTATAAGTCATAGATAAAATTTTGTTTTATTATTTCAGATGACATGGAAGATGATTCTGTGCTGTCTGGTGGAAAGGTAAGAAACGATGGCAAACTTAAGCAATAGGAGTATGAAGTGAGGAATGTTCGTTGGAAGCTTGTCCTCCTGGATATGGCTTTATTTGGGCTACACCTATTAAAAAATCTTTGTAAAATATATTTATAATTTATGGATTAGTAATAGTTTCGACAGAAACTGTTAGGAGTGACGGATGTGGTTTAGAGATCCTTTTCCAGTCGAGCTTTTCTCTGATTTAGGATTTTTGTTGTTAATAGCTTCAGATACAGTTAAGATAAAGAAAATGTCACTTTTCAGTTCTCTCAAATGAACCTTAAACTTAAAGAACTACATTTTGTACATTTGCATCTGAAAGATTGTGTATTTATTGGGGAATGAAGTACTGGTCGTATCAAATTATGCACAATATGTCAGATTAGAACCGAGTAGAATCAAAATCTAATTTTTACTCTTAATCATTCTGGATTTACTTAAACAGCTTTGTTGATTTATTGGTTAAAAATTTATGCATCCACCTTATTCCTAGCCCCCGTGCTGCCTTGCCTGAATTATGGGTGCGACTTCCGGCGCGGGCCGAAATCGGTGTTTATGTGCGAACAGTATGAGCTAATGTAGTTTTTCAGAGGATTGTGGATAGCAATTATTAACTTCAATTGTTAACTTCATTAACTCGGTTCTGCCAACACTGAAGCGATGAACAACCTGAAAAGCTTTGAGGCGTGTTAGTATCTACACGGTAATAAGGTCAGTGGTGTTTTGTTAAAAGAGGTGGGACGCTCTTATTTACCTTAAAGCAGACGCAGAGCCCAGCCAAAGCCTTAAAGTCCTCCATCACTGAGCTTGGGTTAATTGAAAAGAAAATCGTAACACCAAATACAATAATGCTGTTCCCTCCATACACTTGAAATCATACCTGATGTTCTCGTCACTGTTTTCAATCCTGAGGATCCGGCGTCTCTCCTCCGGTGGTTTATTGTAGTCCAGACACAAAGTAGGATGCAGGTTCTCCTCCGTCGGCCGTTTGTCAACAAAGTGAAATCAGCACAACTACAGCGTTTTGGGTGGTCTCTTCAAGTTCACATTTTCCAGCCACATTCTTCTTAATTCCTCATCTGTAGGTAGGACATGGAAACTACACCACTTTTCACAGGAACACTCTTTTTGTTTTGTGTCTGTGTTCCAAACACTGTTGTTGTAGCCACTGGTTTAGTTTGGGCTGGTTGTTTGTGCAGCTGCGAACACAACAGGTACCTGAACTCAGCACGGCTGTTTTAGTAAACTTTATTATGGTTGTTAAATAAATGTAAACAAAACAAAAACAGAGTTTTATCTGCTAAACTAAATGCAAATTACTTCCAAATAAACCGCGGTCCGTGCTCCACTACCATTGTTAGCCAATGCTTACTGCTACTTCCTGTCAGACAGGAAGTTGTACCCATAATCACTTATACAATAGAGCCCCCAGGAATAAGGTGGATAGTATTGCACCATTTTCCCCCCCATTCTTATTTTAGCTGATATTTGGCAACTTCTGATGTTTTTCAAAATGTCTTTTGAGTTCTTTCTTTCTTTGAATCTCAAAAGTTTCTGAACGTCTGCAGGATGATGAAGAACATGGCAAAGGGGAGATCAACCGGCTGGATGCCAGCGAAGACAACGTGACTGAACAAACACACCACATCATCATCCCAAGTTATGCTGCCTGGTTTGATTACAACAGGTAAATTGTGCAGAAATTAAACATGTTGGGTTAGCTTCAGGCTTTTACCACAAACGTATTGTGTTAAATAAAACACTGTTTATTAGTTCAAGCTATCAGTGTCAAAATGCTTAAAACTCAAAACAACCTAATGAGATTAAAAGACACATTTTTATTAGAGTAGATGGTTAGTGGTTTACTTATTAGCAGAGTTTGTAACATTTGTTTTTCTTAGTTTTATTTGAATTATTAGTCTTTATAACTTTCTGTAAAATGGTATTTTCTTTCAGCATCCATCAGATTGAGAGAAGAGCCTTGCCCGAGTTTTTCAACGGGAAAAACAAGTCCAAAACTCCAGAAATGTGAGTTTATATTTACACGATGTTTTGCAGCAAACCTAAAAAAAATTCTGTCTTAATAATTTGCTTGGTATCTCCTGAACAGATATTTGGCCTATCGTAATTTCATGATTGACACGTATCGGCTGAACCCTCAGGAATACCTCACCTCCACTTCCTGCCGCAGGAACCTGACCGGGGACGTCTGCGCCATCATGAGGTGCTTTGAATCTTGAGCTTCTCTGGGTTATATCGGTCATTCCAAACCCCAGTTAGACTGTTATTGTGAAATGTTGACCATATTATATTATAATAAGTGCTAAAATTGCCCCAAAAAACAACGTGAATATTTTAAGTCAATAAATCGTAAGACTTAAAAAATAAACAAACGTAGAGTTATACAATACTTTGCAATAAAATACATGTTTTAAATGCATAAAGAAGTCAAAAATACTCAAAATAATTGAAATTACAATGTTTTATTGTGTCATCTTTAGGGTTCATGCATTCCTGGAGCAGTGGGGTTTGGTGAATTACCAGGTGGATTCTGAGAGCCGCCCACTGCCCATGGGCCCCCCTCCCACACCACACTTCACTGTTCTGGCTGATACACCCTCTGGACTCATGCCCCTCAACCACCGACCCCCACCCCCACAGGTAAGGAAACCCCACTTAGGGAAGAAAGGTGAGGTGAGCATAAAAAAAACAAGAGTAGTTTGAATTACTTTATTCTTGAAGAACTCTAGGATGCTATAGGAGTAAAATGTCTTTTTTTTTTTTTTTTTTAAACAAGACATTTCTGCTTTATTTTGGCTTTGGAAGTTTTAAATTTGTAATAAACGTCACATTTTCTCACAAAATTGTAAAATAAAAATCTGTTTTCCCTTATATAACTAGCTTCAGAAAAAAAGTAATTTAAAAATAACTGCATATTGCTGTGTCTGAATTGAGCTCAGCATTTTTATTTTTGCAATTTTATACAAATAATTAAATTTAAAAAGAGAAGTCTGTAAAGACTTTAAACGGTCCTCTGATAAATTTGTGTTGTTTGTGTCTGCAGATTCCCGCTCCACAACCAATGCCCAACTTTGCAGATAAAAGCAAAGACAAACCAATTGATTTGCAAAATTTTGGCCTCCGGCCCGACCTCTTCAAGAAGAACGCTAAGGTGAGAAGACGACCTGTTTTAATGTATTGAACATAATTTATGTATTTACGAGTCTGCTAAGTCAAACTGCGAAGTAGCGAGGTACTACTGTGTAAATCTAGCAGCTACACACACACAGACGTTGGATAACCATGGATGTTTTAATCCTAATCGCTGATCATACTTTTTTTTTTTTAACCACTTGTACATTGTGCAACTTTATGATCATTTGGTTTTGGTTCGCAGCCGGGAAAAGGAGCCTGCACCACCAGAGACTGGACGGAGCAGGAGACTCTGCTGTTGCTCGAGGTGAGTTCTGTTGGGTGGAGAAAAGTTGACATCTGCTGAGATTGAAACATCTGTTTTTCTAACCGTATGCACTTTTTACCAACCTGCTCTTTCACCTTTTTCAAGTTTTGTACACCACACAAATTTAATCATCAACCTGTGCTTTTCTGTTATTTCATTTACTTGAGAAGCACACAAACTCTGCATGACTGAGACTTATCTACACTGTTCTCACAGGCTCTAGAGATGTACAAAGACGACTGGAACAAGGTGTCGGAACATGTTGGTTCACGCACCCAAGATGAATGTATCCTGCACTTCCTTCGGCTCCCAATTGAAGATCCGTATCTTGAGAGCACAGAGACATCCATGGGCCCTTTGGCCTACCAGCCCATCCCCTTCAGCCAGTCTGGAAACCCTGTCATGAGCACAGTGGCCTTCCTGGCCTCCGTAGTGGACCCCAGAGTTGCTTCAGCTGCTGCCAAGGCAGCCTTAGGTGAGAACTGATTGGAGGAAGCAAAATAAATTCAGAATAGATTTGTAGAAGTTATCCTTAAAGACACATTTATAAAGACTTGCATGACAACTAAAGTTTTTGTTGAATTTTGCACAATGGTGGAACTTTAAATATGCAGCGATGTTCAAATAATCAGCATTGCAAGCATTTCAGACCCTTATCCTGATGCATGCTCAATAATCCAGGTAGAATAATCTAAAAAAGTTCAATCTGGTCCTCTGGACATTCAAAAAAAAAACAAGAAAATTGTAGAAACGTTTTGTCTTTCATCCGAAAGACTTGTTTTGTTTTGTTTTTTTGAATGTCCAGAGGACCAGATTGAACTTTTTTAGGTTTATGGACCTGACTTTTTTCTTTTTTTTTTTTTTTACAGGTCCTTATTAAGTAAAGAAATAAATACCGAAAGCTTTTAACATTGACTCTTACTAACTGTTTAAACCAGTCTTCAGCACATGAAGAATCATTTTATTCTGTAAATCTTGGCAAGATGCTGAAAATGTTCTGTTTTTGCAGAGGAGTTCTCTCGTGTGCGTGAGGAGGTTCCGGCTGAGTTGGTGGAAGCCCATGTGAAGAAGGTGCAAGAGGCGGCGAAGAGCACGGGCAAAGTTGACCCCGCTTTCGGCCTGGAGAGCAGCGGCATCGCTGGAACTGCCCCTGAAGAACCAGAAAAGACCGGTGGGTAGCATCAGAGGAGGTGCTGAAAGTGTGACATCTAAACTAACGTTATTAACTTACTTTTATGTGCATGCATGTTTCTGTTCAGTGCCCTGAGATGAATTCTGTTGTGACTTGGCGCTATATAAACAAACTGAATTGAATAGAATTGAACTTGGTCAGGCTGTGGAAATAAAAGCCAGGTAGTTGGATGGACTGCACAGCCACCAGAGGGCGGCACACACAATACCAAGCAGACCATGTTGACGTTGAGGCAGTCTGTGATGTAAATGGATGATCTGAGAATGTTAAAGCTGAATGAGGAACAGTCTTCATCACACTGCCAGACACTCTTTATGTTGTGTGACCGTGGTGGGCAACAGTTTTCGTTAGCACGCGTTAAGCAGTTCAGATTTTGGTGTGTGTTTATATTGTCGTGGTAACCAGAGGATTACAACAGCAGCAGCAGATGGGACAGAAGGTTGGGAGGAGGGAAAACAGAAAACTGGGTCATCGCTCTCTTCGTTTTGCTTTGTGCTGTTTTGGAAACTGGTCTTTACTTTAACCACTGCTCACATGATCCCTGGCAAAAAAACGCACTCGCTGGCATTACTGCCCTCATGACCTACAGTTAAGATCAATAAGCTTTAGTGTTTCATGTCTCACTTTGCCTGAAGCACTTGCCTGCCACAGAATCAATATTCAGATCCTTAACATGCGCTTACATGCACACGTAACGTGGTTTAACTCAGCCCCAAACGAGTATTCATCCTGGCACGTGTTTAGAGGCTTTAACAGTTTTTCTTGTTGATGTCATTCAGAAGAAATGCTTTTCTACCTTTCTTCTAATGGTTTTTTAAAAATGGTGTTTATGAAAATGAATAGTTGTTTTTGTTTAAAAAAAAACATGTATTTTCTGACTTTATCTGCTGCAACTTATTGGTAAAACTTGAAATATGTTCAGGCTGCCATACAATAATAAATGTGTGTTTTTTTGTCTTGTGTTTAAGTGGTGCTTATATGCTTTTTTCCTTTTACCGTTACTTGTAGAAGCCACAGAACCAGAAAAGATGGACACAGATTCAGACTCTCAGCAGGCGGATAAGGTGAGGCTTCTACTGGCTTTATGAAATGTTCGATCACGATGAGTAAATAATGGCCTTTTCAGAGCGATTTGTATCTCATGCTGGTCAGAAAGTTATGAGGACAGCAGTGCTTCATCTCATGTGTTACTGTGTTATTAACTACAACAATTAGGGAAGCACGATTATCTCTTATTTAGCATCATTGCAATGCCAGTGAGCACATCAATGCTACAGAGGACCGCGTGGACTGCAATAAATCATGTTTCTTGCTCATAGATTATTATATTTCAAGTACCCTGCATTAATGTGCTTGTGAATAGAATTTTTGGTCAGTCTAAAAGACCTCTACTGGTATTTTATGCCCACACCTGGTGTGGATAATAGCAACAACAGAAGAGAAGTTGGGGGGGAAAATGTAGGTTCATCATACTATTAAACTGTAATATTGCAAATTTGCAGGTTTTTCTGACATTGTGCACCCCCTAACAACAAGCTGTTTGTTGGAACACAATAAGAAATGTTTTTTTTTCTTACTATAAATTAAGTGGTGTTTGCTGGAAATACCCTGTGTTAGGTGTGTTTTCTCATTAAATCAAGCATTTTGTCTAAATCACAAAGAATGGGGTTGAGATTTGAGCTATTATGCAATGTGAGCATTTACTAGTAAGGTAGATTTATTAATCATTTATGTTTATTCGTTACAGTCAACGCAGATCTTCAGTTTTGAACAAAGGCTGTAACATTAAACTTCATAAAATGTTTGTTTTGACTCGTCTTTTTTTGTCAGACCTCTCTCTAAAGAGTTGTCATATTAATTCTGGCACCAGCCTCTAATCGTTGTTTGTTTTTTGTCCTTATCATTCAGGCTGAGTTGAAAGACGAGGCAGAGAAGCCCAGCGAGTCTGCAGAGAAGAGTGACAAGACGGAAACGACAGAAAAGGTGAAGAAAGAGGGAGGGGAGGCATCAGAGCGCGAAGAAGAGAATGAAGAAGAAGGGGAGGCTAAAACTGATTCAGCAGGTAACAGAACAATGGAAACATAAAATAAAAACACTCAAATTTCAGTCTCTTCTTCATGGAAATATATATATTTTAAATTTAAAATTTAAATCTGCTCTTTGCCTCATGTTCATTTATCTGCCTCTGTCTGTTTAGTTGACATTTTTTAATGTAGACGGCAAAAGTGTGTAGATTAGACTTTAGTTCAAGATAAAATAGATAAAGCTTCCTTGTTCAAATTATTACTTTTCTGTCTCTAATGTTCTTGTTTAGTTTTCATCATTTGTTTTCTTAGTGCCCTTTTTGATAATGCTGATGACGATTTCCCATTTTGGTGCTGAGAATGAAAAACAACACCAATCTTTTAAGTTACATTTTCATCTTTTTTTAGACAAGGATAAGGAGGAACCTATGCTGACCTCCTCCTCGGAGCAGGAGAAGGAAGAGAAGGCAGCTACAGAAGAAGGAGAGGACAAGAAGAAGAAGCTGGAGCATGACATTGGAGAGGGGAACATTGCCACCGCGGCTGCAGCTGCCCTGGCATCTGCTGCCACCAAGGCCAAGGTGAAACCAGTGCACGCAATGTCGGATCACATTTTGTTCTGGCTTCTCTAATGTTCTGTCTCTTGCATACAAAAATTAAAGATACTGTTACTGTAAAAGGCATAGAGCGAATACAAAAATCAGGAAGATTTATGTTGAAAACGGCACTGAATGTAAACATTTGTCTATGAAATACTGACTTCATCCTTCTCAGCACCTGGCTGCAGTTGAGGAAAGGAAGATCAAGTCTCTGGTTGCTCTGCTGGTGGAAACTCAGATGAAGAAGCTGGAGATCAAGCTGAGGCACTTCGAGGAACTTGAGACGATTATGGACCGTGAAAAGGAAGCCGTAAGTCGTTTATTTCAGTAGCACAGTTCAAGATGACGTCAGTGGACTGAAGTGCTGCAGAAAGTACGAAACGCAAAATGACTAATTCATAACCTGTTCAACTAACACTTAAACAACCTTCTTTATTACCTTGATTAAGTATTAATTAAAATATTGTCAATGATCTAGACCAATGGTTTCCGAATATTTTAGCTGTCAACCCACAGAATGGTCGGGACAAAGCTTGTGACTCCATCTACTGGCAGTTAAAACATACAAAAACTACAAGTAACCCAATTAAACATGTATAATGACAACATAAAGGATCTTAATGTTTTAAACTTTACTGGCACAATTTCCTTGTGCCATTTTTCTGCTATCAGCTTATTTTTTTCAGAATCTCTTTTGCAGCGAACATAATTAACAGCAGAGTGAAAATATAGAGAGAATACCTCAACTATATTCATTTAACTGTTTGTGTTTATCATAATTACTCATATGGTTTTAGCAGGTAATAATTGAAATTTTCATTGGATTGCTCAAGTTATGCTATTTGAATATTTAATAGATAAATATTTTATTGTCATTTAGGTGTACACTGTGGAATTATAATACATTACAGTCTTACTGCCCAATTTCCCTTATTGCTGTATTGATCAAGTACCGGTAGTAGAGCTGGGCGATATGGATCAAAATTAATGTCTCGATATTTTAAGATATATATATATATATATATATATATATATATATATATATCTCGATTTATTTTTTTCTTTCCATAAAGTAATAACAAAAATATATTTCTGAGTCAAAGCTTTGTCCCAGTTGTCACTAACTGTACAAAATAAATGTAAAAAAAAAAAAACTATTTGCATATATTGAATAATAATCCTCCCCAGCTGCGCCGCCTTCACGACGTTCGTAATCTGCAGTGAGGGGCTGCTTGCATTCAGAGAGGGAGAAAGAGGCCACGTGAAGTTGGACGGGCAGAAAAAGAACTAGTGTACACAGATTTTCAAGTCTTACAGTGAGGGGTGGCACGACATTAATAAAGCAGCAGCTTGTATCACTAAAGACACAGTCCTTATTCCACAGTTGAGACTGGGACCGTGTCTTGGCGATATGATAAGCTGCTGCTTTATTAATGTCACGCTACCTCTCTGTTGCTCTCATAAGGCACAGCACAGGTAGAGTTTTGTACCGTGGTTTGTTTCAGGGAAGGAGGCTGAAAACATCGGAGCTGCAGCTCATAACTTAACTTACAGGGATGGTGAAAAGGATTCGTAGTTCTGACCTTTGTCAGGACTTGTTTTCAGCATTGTTTACATAAAACATTTTTCTGCAGCTCATCTGACAATTTTAATCCAAACCATCTCCGAAATAACAGCCATTGTTTTTCTTTATGCTGCTCTTCGACATCTCCCGTATTTTCTTGTTGCGCTAAACGTCTCCCGCCCACGTGGAGAGACAGGAAGCGAGGGGAGCGCGTGGCTGAGGGGCTGTGTGTTTGTATTCAATGAGGGAGAAGAAGGGGCCATGTGCAGATGAGCACAGACGGGAGAAAAGGAAGAACTAAATGGTTTTTCAAATCTAATTAGAACGCAACGTAGAAATATCGATATAGACGATAATAGTCCCATCTTGTATTGCAAATGAAATTATCTCAATATTTTAAAAATATCGAGATAAATATTAGTTAAATCAGCAGATGATCCCACTGGGTGAGTTGTTCTCACATGGTTCAGGTTTTTGACAGAGATATAGTATGATTTCTTTATAAGGAAGCTAAGATATTTAAATATTTTCAGGAGCAGAAGAGTTGTTTGTTGATGCTATTTAAACAGTTGTGTGCCTCGACAGGACATATTAATGATGTAGCTCGTATGTGTTTAGGTGTGTCCTGCCTGGAACAGTCCTTGGAGACGCCAGTAAAACTGTGTTTTCTTGGTGGCAGCGTTTGGAGTGAAGCCCAGTTTCACAGCTGCAAACGCTGCATGAAGAGAGCCGCTTGAAAAAGAAGAGGACTAGAGTAACACCAGTCCTGCGCTGCTGCTAATTAAACACCGAGTCTAAAGATCCACACAGTACAGAAAGAAATGACACGAAACAGTTTTCAGATGGACGACTTTCTGTGTTAGGAAAGAACAACAACTGCTTTTATGTCTTATAAAACCGTCTCGGAACAACTAAAAATGTTGAAAACTAACTGATTTCTTTTTTGATGTAGAAAAGTTGAGTGATGAAAATACTTCTGGTTTTATCCTGATGCATGCTCAAACTTCTGGTTTTCCATTTTTTATGAGTTACAATAGCAATTTTCTTGGTGCCACATCATGGTGTATTTAGAACTGCTGCCTCGCAGCACAGAGGTCCTGGGTCCATTTTCAGGCTGGGGCCGTTTTGCATGAAGGTTGCATGTTCTCTCTGTACATGCATGGGTTTTCCTCATGCTTTCCTCCCAAACATCATCAAACCTAAGGTTGGACTGTGAGAAGTTCCACTTGTCTTTTGTGTCTTTTTGGTTCCTCCTGGTTTAGATGACACTGATCCTCGGCCGTTGATGTTTCTTGGTGTTTGCCGTATGTTTCTGTGCAGTTGGAACTTCAGCGGCAGCAGCTCCTCACCGAGCGACAAGCGTTTCACATGGAGCAGCTCAAATACGCCGAGATGAAGGCGAGGCAGCAGATGGAGCAGCAGGCTGCTGCTGCTGCAGCCGCTGCAGCCCAGGCTCAAGGACAGGGGCAGGCTCCTGGATCAGGGCCCCACCCTGGCCCCCATCCGCCTGGCATGCACCACGGAGGTCCCATGCCCCACCACGGAGGACCGCCTCATCATGGAGGACCTCCATCCCACCATGGAGGACCCCCACCTCATCATGGAGGGCCCCCACCCGGCGCTGCAATCCACCACGGTTACCCCCCAATGGGCCACCACCCGATGGCACCTCACCACCCAGGACAGACCGGTGAGATGGTTGAAAATAAAGTTTGTGTACAGATAAACATTTTTTTGTTATTTTATGTTTGTTTTCTGTTGAAATGTCTGTAAACAGTTTTGGACAGCAGGAGTCAGACTTTATACACATTTTAAAATCTATTAAAACTTCACTTTCTCAAAAGTGTAACCAGAATAGATAAAAGAATATTAGCCGTAATGGCTAGAAGTTTTCAATGCAAATTATTGGTTGCATCATTTACTATGTTTTATATTTGCCTTGTACAAAAACATAAAAATAATATTTTATCAAATTGATAATTTGGATTTTTTTTAAAAATACATAAAAATATATCTGCTTTCAGTTAAATGCATAGAAAGTCTTCAGACTTTTGTTTTAAGAGACCAAACCAGTGGAATTAAATGCTTATATTTTTTACAAAAAATAAATAAAATAATTTGTTTAGATTTGAAGCTGCTCATGTGGGAGTTGATAAAATCGCACCGAGTCACGGCTGCCGTTAGTCTCTGCCTGACATTTGTTTTCTCTGCACCGTCCAAACCGCAGGACCACTGGAACCAGGTCAGCCGATGCCGGGACGTATGATGTCTGTTCCACCCTCTGCTGGCCCCCCTCCTGGAGGCATTCCTCCCATGATGCCCCCACGCCACCCTGGAGCCCCCAACGGCATGTGTGAGTACAAAAATCACTCTTTGTTGCATAGTGGTTGTTGATGAGCAACCTGTGATTTTATTTTATGTTTATTGTCGAAATATTTTATTAACCAAATAAACCTTAAATTGTGGGTGTGTTTAATGAATTTCATATTCTTAACATAGAGAAAAACAAATTATGCTGTAGGTGTCATCAAAGCAGGCAGCTGGTCTTCGGTGCAAATGTCAAAACATTTGGATAGTTGATGCTCATCAGCATCACATCGTACATCATAACTGCAGGGATTTCTCTGTTTATTCTGAAGCCCATTAGCATTAAAAAAGTAGCAACACATTGATCTGCAGCTGTTTTCGTTAAACGCTGAACAGCACCTGGTCCGTGTTTTTATTGATTTTATAAATAAAAGTATTCCAGCATTTTGTTTTCCTTGATATTTATGGAGCCATTTTAATAGGATCGTTTTATTGTTGTGCAACACAAGACTGTGTAACAGAAATAAAGTCTTTAACATCATCAAGTCAAAATAAAGTTTTCTGATGCACGCTCAATAATCCAGGTAGAAAAATCTAAAAAAGTTAAGTCTGGTCCTCTGGACATTCAAAAAACAAAACAAACTTTGCCGTAATGTATTTTGGGGTTAAATGTCCCTGTGGCTTTTAAACCCCAAAATACATTACGGCAAAGACTGGTTCATCCCAAAGATCCAGTCCCCCGGCACAAACAGAGTAATGTTGTGTATGCTGTTCAGTGTCAGGAGGGTGATCAGTCTTACATCGGGGAAACAAAACAGCCACTGGCCAAAAGGATGGCCCAGCACAGAAGATCAACATCATCAGGCCAGGACTCTGCAGTCTACACTCATCTCCAGGCCAGCGGTCACTCTTTCAGGGATGAAGATGTTCACAGTGCACGGACTCTGGTTCCAAAAATACAACATGGCAGCTCCCTTAAACTGGGTCCTGCTGGTTTTGTCTGCTCGGTCACATTGATGGTCACTAATTTTTCGTGGAGACTGTAAACTCATTCTAAAGCCGAAGTGAACCTGGACCGGACGTTTTATGTAACGTTTCTCATCTTTTATCCAGCTACAGGTTCATAGTACAGAAGTCTACTCAGACTTTTTTACCCTTGTTCTGAAACCAACATTCTGCTCTTTCCAGATCCGGGTCCCCCGCCTGCACAACCTGAGGCGATACCTCCAGTTCCTGTGGGTCCTCCAGCGCCTCCGAGTGGACGAGTGGCGGATAACTAAGGCCTACACACACAAATACACACAAAGCACACGTGCTAACTGTCTCTGAACATGAGCCCGTTTTTGATGATCTTTATGTGCTCAATGTTTTTCCCTTTGACATTAAAGCAGCCATGAACTTCACCCTGTTACACACAGACTCACACTCAGGGTTCTACAGCAACAGCAACCCGGCTACACAAACACATGCAGACTTCCTCTCAGGGCACAGCGGCGAGGTTCTTCTAGTAATAAACACTGTTTTCTGCTCTGCTGGGCTAAAGGGAGGCTGCAGACAGTGACCCTTTGTACATTAAACTAAGTAAGGAATCAAATAATAATACAAATCTTCCATTCTAAACTGAAACAACAGGTTTTAGGTGACACTGTAACTTTGTACTTTGTATAAAAAAAATGGTAATTTACTGCTTTTTGTCTGGTCCCTCTTTCTCCGAGACGAGCACTAGGTGAAGCTTGTGAGACGTGCAGGGTCCGTGTGTCGAGTAGGCTGAGCTGAAACACGCCAGGCCAACAGATTTTAGACAGTCCCATGAATAAAAGACACAGCAGACCCAGCCTACCCCTATTCTCATCGAGTATCTACCTCTCGCTCTACTTTTAATGATACACTGTAGTTCTGTGTGTGCGTAAGACAGGGGGATGTTTGGTGGCAGTCTCTGCCTAGTTCTGAGCTCATTTCAACTGTTGGACTAGTTAAATTACATAAATAAATTAAAAAAAACTACAAAAGACTGAAGAACAAGAAGTTTGCATACACAGAATAATGAATATTCTGCTGCTACAAAATTAGAAGTCGGTCAAACGTCAAAGTGTCACTGGGGAGTGTTTAATTATTAGAAGCTCACGAAACCGGTTTACTCTAATATTTATGGCACATGGAACGAAATATCGGTAAAAGAATTATGCAAGGATTTTCTTAACGCATCACATTTGTGCAAGTTTTTTTTTTTCCTCTTCTCTTTTTAGACCATAATTTCCTTTAAATGTAAACAACCAAACCGGTTGGAAATGCAAGTCTGACTTGATGATTTCTGACCTGCAGATGTAAATTCCAGCTGCAGATTGATCTTAATCCAGTTCTCTGAGTTTATGAGTAGAATTGGGTCAACATAAACTAGCATTATAGGTCGCATTGATGCGCTTCACTGATGTTTGCACTATGGCGCAAACTGTCATCCTTTATTTTTTCCTCCGAAAAGATTAAACCAAATATCACAGATCTCACTGGCTTAAGAGGCCTTCAGAGGAGCCGCAGACGGCTAGCACTCCTCCTGTCGCACCACGCAGAGCACTGGAACACGCAGAAATTGTAAAGCTAAAGCTCAGGCAAACACTGGAGGCTGCATGCACACACTGACTTCATCCCACACACACCAATCCCCTGCTGACCTTCACACGGCCTGAACAAAGTGAGAGACGCTGTGGTGCGGGGCGACCGAAGCATCAGCACGTGACAAACGCTCTTCCTCAGCACGGTGATGTTTTTAGGTGCTCATCCTGTAGCGGTTCAACCCTTCTCCTCTGCTCCTTGCACCTGTTGCTGCCTACCTCGCTAACCCGTCCTTGTTTTCACACTTTTTGCTTTTCGGCCACTTGAACTCAATATTCTTATGTGAGGCGACGGTTGTCAACACAAAACAAACACGGAGCTGCGTGACTGTTGATCCTCATAGTTTGTCTCCTGATACTGTGACTGAAAAAAATACACAAGGGAGGAGCCACTAACCTGTACTATTTAATAATCAGTGATTCAGGAGAGGTTTTAATAAATGGAAAATTCAACGCACGTTTAAAAGCAGCCGAGTGCCATGGTATGGTTAACTGATCGTCCCCGGGTTTAGACGGACAAAAAACAGCAACTTATTGTAAATGCTTCTTAAATTGTGGCCCGTTTCTTTCATGATCCTGTAGTTGTAAAGTAAAACGTCAAGTTTTGTTGTTTAAATACCCATCATTGTAAAACCAGTTATAATCCTGATAAAAGCTTAAGTCGGTGTTTAGTACTTTTGTCGTTTAGACTGAACGTTTGTTCTTTAAAGCCATTAGCAGAACTGCCACAGTGCTTTTATTTGAAACGCTCTCCTTCGACTCTAGAAATATTGTCAGAATGTGACGACCTCCGTTTCTTTTTGTCTGAGCGTCAAAGGATCGGAAAAGTCGAGTAAAATGATCTTTTGAAACTCGTCGTGTTTCTTGAGCTTTTGTTCCCACGAGTTTATTCTTCTTAAAACTGTAGACGATCCCTCGTTCTTTTCTCTTTCAAAGATTTTGCTTATTGTGTTTAAAATAATTGCAGGCTAAAAAAAAAATAAAAATAAATGCCAACCTTTTTTTTTTGCTTTAAGATTGATAATTTTGCTACAATATTTATTTAGAAATTTGTGTCTAACATAGAAGTTGGCTTCACAGTAATCTGTTCACACGTTATTGATTAACCTAAATATTTTTTATTGTGAATAATTAAAAACTGCTAATATTCCTGCCTTGCTAGCACTGTTAGTGTCTTTGCTACCTCCTCCTCCTTCACCGGCTAGCTACCTCTTCTAGAAATCTTCCTCTTGCTGCCTGCTACCTCTCACACCCTTGTGCTACCTCTCATACGCCTTTCCTCCTTTCCATGTCCTCTTTGAGACTTTTCTTTTCGTGCGTGTGCCGCCCACACGACTGCTGCCTCTTCTCCCCGTCTGCAGGAAGCAGGAAACACAAGCGTTCGTTCACTTGCGCCTCACCCACCTTTCCTAAGTTGTAGCATCTCACAGGCTCGTGATGTAACTTCACTCACTCAGATAAGATAAAGTTCCCCTAACATATATTATCTTTAATGAATATGTTTTTTGTGTTAATGGTGATGTATTTTTAAGGAGAAATTTTGTGTAGATGAACGTTTTCTCTGTAGCATTTTGTTGTTTTTTTTTTAATTTTGTATGGGGTCTGTTGGTACTTGGACCTAGACACTGTCAAATAAACTGTTTTCTATAAGATTGATGTCTAACTTCCACTGTTTCCTTTTCTCATCTCTTCAAACAGTCGGAACTCTTTCCTAAGACGCTGTAAAGCAGCGGTGCCCAATACGTTGATCGTGATCTACCGGTCGATCACAAAGGTATTATGGGTAGATCACATTGCGTTAAAAAAACTAGACATCATTTGTCACTTGACTGACATACAGGGCAGCTAGTCTGAGGCCCCGTTTACAAGACGTGAAATGTTTGACCGTTCGTTTACACAACAGCCCTCATTCTCTCTGAAACCAAAGATTTCTGAATCCAAGTCTTGTTTTCAGGAGAACCCCCCACGGTGGCGTGAAACGCTCCAAGTGTGAAGTGACACATGCACACTAAAGGCGGCTGCAGTTCAAAGTTTTACAACAGTTATAATAAACGGCAGAGAGCAGAGTGTTTTTGTGCCGCTCACCCTTTTTCAGCATGTAGGAGCAAAACTAATAAAATCCAAAATCGCGCACGTCTGCCGATGGTTAATAACTATAGTTATAATAATCCACTGACTCTTGTTTTTCGTGGAGTTTTTTTTTATATTGTTTTTTTTTTCCGGATTCGGGTCTGTAATCACAGTTAATTGGTCGGTTTTGGGTCAGGCCGGAAAAAAAATGATACGGGACCAGGTCGGATTTTTTTAGGCCCGAATGCAACTCTACATGCAGAAACTTTATGCACGATGAATGCAACTGAGCTAGAGCTTTTGTTTCTAACCCGGACCTGAAGCCTGGCCCGGCCCGACCCGAATTCGGGTCGAGCCATAATAATGTGCGGGCCGGTCTCGGGCTTTTAATGCTGTTTTACGAATCATACAGCACAAATAAAACTAAATAAAAATGCACAATATAAAATTGTGTTAAGAAAGAGGTAAAAAAAATGTCCAGTTAAGCTCAGATGGATCAGATGGATCAGCTGATCACCGGCCGCGTGCGTCTCCGCACCTGTTGTCTTCTGCGGTGAAGGAAGTAGCAGCATCTACAAAAGCCGAAGCGAGCAGCCCGTTCAATTAAAATAGCTTTGTTCTATATTTGTCCAAATGATTTTGCTCTAAAAATATTTTCACCTGTATAATAGCCGATCTTTAGAGTTGATTTTTTTTTTTAGGTTATTTGTTTTGTTTGTTCATTTGGTGAAACAAGAAATCTTATCTTCCTTTTTTTTTTTTTTTTAAACTATTATGTCAAACTGATTTGCTTACAAAAGCAGTAAAAGCTTAATAAAAAAAGTTGTTTTTTTCGGGTTCGGGCCTGTGATTACAGTTAATCTGTTGAGTCCGGGTCGGACTCGGAAAAAATTATACGGGTTCGGGCTGGGCCGGATTTTTTAGTCCCGTAAACTGTATGTAAAGCATCACACGTGTGACGGTGACCCGGTGCAGGTGGTTCACAACAAAATAAACGCACAGCAAGTGTTGCGCATAACGGCTCCTAGATAAAAATATACAAACATGCAAACAAATTTAAGACATTAAAATCGGTGTTTGTGTGCATTTTGGAACAACACATACCAAACACAAAAGTTAAAAATGTTTTACTGAAAAGCTGTTTCATCTGTTATAATGACGTACCTTCTTCATAAAACATGTATTTCTAATAAACTGGAACAAAACATAAAAAACTGCTTCAAACCACACGGTCAGTTATGTTTCAGGGTTTGTACTGTGAAGATGTGACTCGTTGGATTATTTTCGTCTTCCTGTCCATGTTTTTCACCATCTGCAGCTCCAGGATGAGAAGCTGGATTATCTGTTTTCGGCCTTTGTGTTGGGAATAAAGCCGCTGCTTGCTAAACATCTGCACATAATAGGTTCACATTGTTTTTATTATACAGTTAGTAGTGACCTCAACAGCTTATTCAGCTTTCGTGGTTCTTCTAGTGGAAGAAAAACATTTACGGTTCATCAGGCTGTTTGTCACCGTACTTTATGTCTGTCAACACACACAGGAGTTACGTTTGCTCAATGAGGAAATGATGAGAATAAATGAGTCGGTTTTGTCATTTGAAACCTAATCCCAGCCGCCTGGCGATATAATCTGGTGAGGAGGGATTTCTGCGTCCAGCAGATTGAGCACGAGCATGTTATTGAGGAGGATGAGGGGTCGGAGAGTGATTACGCATCCAGGGAGGAGGGGAGAAACGGGGGGGGGGGGGGGGAGTGCCTAACGGACAAGAGCCATAAATTATTCTGTGAACAACGATTGGCAGTCTGCGTTCAGAACTACCTTTTAGGATCTAAATTTAAATCTAGCTGTTTTTGTTACTTTTTTGCCATTTTATTTGTATATAAAAAAAACTGTCTTTTTATAATTGTCCGTTGTTGTCATCATTCTTTGTTGAAATCAGGTCTCTCTTGTAAACGAGTCCTCGAGGCTCATTAACCTGTCTAAATAAAGGAAGGTTGGAAAAAAAAAAGATCTGATCACGAACATCTGCATCGTTCTGGAGCTCCAGATGTTTTCATTATAAACGACCTGCAGGAAGTCACAAGCAGAACTGGTTTGTTACACTTTGGAGTAAGCTGTTGGGGGAAGAATCAGTTTTGTTGTGTTTCCTTGACTGATGAAGCCTTCTGGATCGAAGGCGACTCGTTTCAGCACAAAAAAAAAAGAAACTGTCCAGATGACCTGACTGAAAAATGTTGGATTTTATTCCTGGATTATTGAGCATGGACTTTGTTGGAAACTGAATTCTTCTTGTTTGCGTGGTAGTTATATATACATATATATATATATATATATATATATATATATATGTGTATATATATGTGTATATATATGTGTGTGTAT